CACACACCACCACCATCCCCCTCCCCCCCCTTTTTTTTTCTTCTTCTGTAGTGCTGGCTGGCTGTCACACCCGTCTGTCAAGCCCGTTGATGTGACGGATCTCGATCAGACATGCCAACTATATCACCATGCAGCAGGAAAGGCGCGGATGCAGCAAAAGCCGTCGGGATTCAGATTCACCATTCTAATCACCGATCCACCGCACCCAGACGCTGGAACACTGGCAATGGCCGGTGGCGATAGTGATTGACGGTCTCGCACTAACTATCTGCTTGAGTTGGTCTCCGCGTCCTTCTGACATGCCCAGCGGTGGACCCAGCCCGAGCGAGGGACCCGGCGATCTCCTCGTAGTTGTATTGAAATGTCCAGTTACTCTAGAAAATTCGTCACATGCTGTTTATTGTCTATTTGATTTATTTTCCGCTTCTATTATTTGCACAGAGACAAAATCGATCCGAATTGAGCCAACTGATTGGTTCTACATTCGCAATTCTCCCAATCCCCCCATCCCCAATCTCCCCCAAACCAACAAAAGGCCGCCTTTCGTCCTTGCGCGAAGTCCCTGCCCTAACCGTCTTTCAGGCCGGGGCCGACCTAGCCTGACTTGACCTCGTACAGGAACGGTCCGGAGCAGAAAGCCTGCAAGCCAAACCTGTCTGGGTAGGTTTCCCACCCCATCCTTGCTGCCGGCCGCAGCAATCCTGGGGCCGGTAGGGCACGCCCGCAACCCCTTCCCTCCCGACCTAAGTCCTATAGTACTACTAACTACTACTGCCTGGCTTCTGGCGTGCATCGATGCCGAGCATTATCATTGATTGGGCCTCCTTGATGCCGGCCTGCCCTCCCCGCTGGAAGCCTTTTCCGCGACTCAGACAGCCGACAGGAGTTAGAATATATTATTTCCAGGTCGATGTCAAACCCCCCCACCGGATAGAGGAAGTACTGTAAATAGTACTAATTAATCAACCCCATGCGACGACCAAAAGTCAGGATGTCCCGGAGGCGCACCCGCCACCGTCGTAGAGGCTGCCGCGGACTGGAGAAGATCAGAAGATCTCCAACACTAGCCCGGCGTATCAAACAGACTAGCCCTCGTGTTTGAAAAGAGGGACCAGACCAGAAGGACTAGCTTGTTTCTGGAACGCCCCTCGTCTGGCTCCGCGAGAGAAAAGGAGAGTTTCAGCGCGGTGGCGAACGCTCGTCAGCTCTGCCGCCCCGGACGGAGAAATGGGCCATCCTCATCATCGTCATCCCTTTCTGGAACGCTGAAGCCGACGATATGGGAATCTCCTAAAGGGGAAAGGCGGGGACTTGATGCCTGATGGTCTGGTCTGTACGGAGCCCTGGCTCCGTGGGGATTTACGCCAGCTCGAGTCATGATGAGCTAGGAAAAAATTACGGCTGGAGGTGGCAGCCGGGTTTTGGGTTGGTTTGTTTTTCTTCGTTCGGAAATTAAGACGGGGAGGAAGGAATCTAAGGGATCTCACACATACATACATACATACATACATACACACGTACATTCATCGAGAAGTTTACTCCTGCCTACATTCTGTGCATGGATACCGCTATTTTCGTACGCGGGTTACATTTGGGGAGGGATTCCGGGTAGCTGTATCTGGGATAGAGGCGTAGGACCAGGGGATGCATACGGAGTAGATACGACAGGACGAGACGAGAGGCGAGGATTGGGTTGAGGGCTGATAGTACTACGAGTGGAACAGACTGGCCATGTGTCAAACAACCTTAAGGAGATGTTAGGGCGAGGACAGAATCAGGATCAGACCTAGGTACTCCGTAGTAAGGCTCCGCTAAATCCGCCATGGCTGTATCGACGAGTAAGTGACGGCCGAAGGTAGTTTGTGGCTCCTGATCCACACCACCACGATCGTCGTTGCCATCAGAGGGAGACGGAGGAGAGTAGATGAGTAGTATGGTATATACTTGTAGATGAAGTAGGGTCGTTACTATAGATGAATAATATAATGGTCTCGAATAAAGAATAAAAATAAAGATAAAAATAAAGAACAATGAATGAAATAATGAATAAAGAATAGGATTATGGATAGACGGATGTAGAAGGTTAAATCCCGAAACGGTATTACACAAAACAAAGATAATAATATAATAAATCCGAATAAATAATAATAAATGAAAGAATAAAACTGAAAAATCAAATCAAAAGTTTAAGAATACAATAAATAAAAAAGAAAATCGATCTGCCCCACTGCCCGATCCAATTGTTGCGCTGGTTCTCTCCCTGCCTTGCATAACCTTGGATCAGCTCGCCGGGGCTCCATCCATCCATCCAGCGTCATCGTGTCAAGCACTTAAGGTACTTATCCCTCTTCTTATTCCTATTATCTCTACTTTACTCTTTAGTATCTCTTCTTCCTCTCAGCTAATCTCTACTTACTTACCTTCTCTCCTCTCCTACTCGATCAACTATATCTCTCCTATCCATTCCCCTACTACCATCCCTCCTCTCAGCTATCTCATCTATACCCCTCTACTATACTCCTTATACACTCTAATCCTCCATCCAACTCCTGCTCTCCTAGCCGCAGGCGGCTGTCTCATCACTCTCAACTCTCGGTCTTTGTCTATGTCCCAGTACCGCGAACTGGGCGAGCCTTCGGAAAAAATGGCGATTTCATACGCAAGTGGCCTCCCAGCCGATCACACCCAGGCCCTGCCCTCATTCCGCGAGGTAACTCCCAACCGCAACCAACTCTGGACTACAGGACTCTCGATATTGACCTCTCCAGTTACTACCACCGCATCTGCACGATGAGATCGAATCCACCTCCTACTTCATGTCGCGCCAGAATGCGCGGGATCGGCCTGGGTCCGCCCACCATGACCTGACCTCAACCCCCCATCGCATGCCGCATTCTTCAGCCCCCAAGCTACCCTTGGGGGAAGCGCCCCCGAGGCTGCCGGCGAACGCGCCGCAGACCCCCAATTCCAATCCCCGCTTCGCCTCCCGCGGCCCCAGCCCGATCCTGCCGCCCATTCGCGACCTGCAGTCTCTCCCGGACCGCAGCATGGGCGCTGCCTCGACCGCCCCATTCCCCGACGCGCGAGGCATCGCTCGCCCCGACTCGTTCCCGGCCCCGGACTTTCGCAGCGCCCACGGCTACGCGGCGGGCCCGCTGGCCGATCGACGAGCGGCCGAGGCGTATGCGGCCAACGGCGGTCCGGCCGTCATGCACAACCAGGCGCCCTTTCCCTACCCGGGCATGGCGTACCCCAGCGACGGCGGCGAGCAGCTGTCCCCTGCGCAGCAGTCGAACTTTGGCATCATGGGGGACGCGGCCGATTCGAAGAATAAGCGGCGCCGCGGCAACCTCCCCAAGCCGGTCACCGATATTCTCCGCGCCTGGTTCCACGAGCATCTCGACCACCCCTACCCCAGCGAGGAGGACAAGCAGATGTTCATGACGCGCACGGGTCTGACGATCAGCCAGGTGAGTTCTGCGCGAGTGAGGGAGGGCAATTGACGTGAATCAGGCTAACAAGGCTGTAGATCAGTAATTGGTTCATCAATGCGAGACGGCGCCAGCTGCCGGCGCTGCGGAACCAGATGCGCAACGGCGGTGCCGACCTCGACGCGCAACGCCAGTCGCCGTTTAGCGACGTGGACCAGACGTCTGAGTCGATGCCTTCGCCGCATCAACTCGCCTCCCGGCCTTGAGGGCTACGACCGCCCGGACTCGACACGACCGGCCTCTGGCTGACGAATCTCCTTGCGTTTTACATTTTTACTTTCTCTGCGTTTAAGATCGCCCAGACCGTTTCGAACCCCTTACCATTTTCTAATCGCTTTGCATGGGATCAATCTGGCATGATGATAAGCGTGGGGTGGCCGGGACTTGTTCCGCCATCACGATTTCCTTGGGCATTGTTCTTCATCGATACATGAGATGCATTTCTGGTGTTAGTGGATTCCATCTCGATTCACCGCTAAATCTTTTTACTTTTTTCTTCCCCCTCGACTTTGTTTTTTTGTTTGGCGATGGGTGGCTACGGGATCAAGCATAGTTTTTCCATGTACATTAAAAGTACGCATAACGTGACATGCCAACTAGACCGTTAACGTTCAACTATACGCCCCGGAGTATACTTTCATTCCTACCACGGAATGCAAGATCGCATTCCCCCGTTACGGTATCTGTTCCGATCGACCCACGGTACGGGCGGGCATTGCGATCGGAATCCAGCAGAGGCAATGCGTGGCCGACCCTGCGGACGTAAGATTGAGCGTGTGCGTGTAGCGGCCCACCCAACCCATCCGCTGGTCCGACTGACTCGACTCGTCCTGGATAAGGTAGAGCCAGATGACAGCCGTCAAAGGTTTGCAATTGCGACGGTGTGTTTGGTCCCCGGATGTCGGGTCGGCAGTGGGTAGATGGTCGATGCCGAGACGCGCACCGCCATCTACCGAGCGTACCGACAACAGAAAGAGTATCTCCAACGACAGCCTCAGACCATGACACCCTGTCAAAAGGGGGTGGCGTCCCGTCCGATCTCACTGCCAAAAGTATGTCCGGCGCATGCCGATCGAGTGTCCCGCCCGGGGATCCGGTTCCTAGGTAAGCTTTGGGGAAGCCCGATATGCTATGCAGGGAGTAGAGGCCGAAGCCTTAGCTGTGGCTGTCTGTGGCTGTTTGCGGTTGTTGTTTCTTTGTTTGCTAACTAGGTGGTGTCTACTTGTACTACCTAGGGTTTGGACGTGTTCGCCGGGCTTGATGTCAGTGGCACAAGCTTAACGCCGCCGGCGGGAGTCATGACGCGCCACCGGGGGTGTGGGCGACTGAATCATGGAGGATGCGATCGCAGGAATGCTGCTCGCCTGCGCCACAGCAACGACGAGGGCATCTGGAGGCCGATGCGATGCACCAAGCACGGGGTGGCTAGGCAAGGGTGCGAAAGACAATCGGGTCTGATCGCGGATCCCCGATGTAGTAATGTAGTACTTGTATCTATCACATGGCGGTGTAATTTGTACTGTATATGTATAGTAAGGAAAAAAGAAAGGAACGTGTGGCTTGTGCTGGTGGCATTCCTGGGAAAAGAGATGCCAGCCCTTACTCCATACGTCTGGCGTTTAGATCAAAGGGATGGATGGCACAAAGTACATACATGCATACATACAGACGCCAACGCATGAGAATGCGGCCGCATCCTTCACATCCTGGTATTCCCCATGCGGAATGCCGTGACAGCCTCGCAATGCTTTCCTTTTTGTAGAGTAATAAGTACCGTACTATGATACGGAGTAACCGGGGTATGATGGAGCTGCAGATGAGCTTCCTGTCATCTGAATAGACGCATCGTGGATAATATCGAGAACGCGGATCATTATGACACTACTACCAGTCTTCAGACTTGAATAATCCTGAACAGTGCCTATCTACTACCTAAGGTATGCCTTGTATACCGATCGATCTATCACTGTCAGCCCTCGATCGGACGAACTGTCAACGGCAGATCATCAATACTAGGTAGTACTAACTGCTGTGGCTGGAGCCCTGGAACACCGAATAAACCCGTTGCCCCCCTACATTAGGCATAGTCGCAAACCTGGATAGCAGTGAACCAGCTGCAAGGTGCCAGAGAGCGGTAAGGAAAACACTTCCACGAGTTCCGAGCCCTCCGCTCACCAGCCACACTCCGTACAGCTGCGATTCCATCTTGCATGCATGCATTCCCTTGATACCGGACCGTACGCCGCTCAATAATACCGCCCACGCATGCACGCTCAGTCCTTCCCTGGAATATCTCCCCAGGGCAACGACTGGCTCCGTCGTCTGGCACGACGCTAGCCATGTATGCACCATCCAAAACGGCAATAGACAGATACATACCAAGCCGTCTCGTCTCGTCTAGTCTACCACGTCAGACGCCTCTCCTCTCTCCTCTACGCACATTTCGCCACCGTCCGCTTCAAATCAGCCCAATCCGGCAAGTCAAGTCCGCGGTCTAGGGCGAACAGGATCAAACCCCCCGCCCCGCCCGTCGCCTTATGACGATCCCGTCTACTAGGTACCCAAGTCTGTAACTACGCAGTAAAATACAGGACACGACTGGTGGCATTGGCGTTGGCATCTGCAGGCCATCGGACTCCCCCCAACGGGTACCTCCTCCGCCCAATCACCCGGCGATCCTGCCCGGCTGCCAGACGAACCCGCTTCGTTAGGCTCTCAGGGGGGGGTGTCCTGGTTTCCGGGATTTGGGCCGCTGTCGCACTGCAGATCCATCGCGGTCCGTGCGGGCAACAACCCCCGATCGACGGTTGTCAGGCGCGGAGATCGCGGCGGTGGCAGTGGCTGATGGGCATGCGGTGTCGCCCGGCCGAGTACACTTCCGTGTAGGTGCTGGGCTGGGGATTTCTCGGGGGTTTCGGTCTCGAAATAGATGGATGCATTCTGTTGCTGGGAGGTATGGTCTGTAATACGGAGTACGGGGGGTAATTTGCCAGACATGCCGTGTACTTGTCCGCTAGTAGGCTCGGCACAAGGCATCTTGGGCGGTTGGCCGTTGTTTCTTGTTTTAGAGTGGGGATATGGTTTACAGAGTTGAGACTATTCAGGGTGTGCGTATTCTAGGTCAGATTCCGTGGGTAGATGCTTCGTCTCTCTCTATATATATGGAACAGCGGGTTTGATACACGGGCATTGCACAATGTTTGTAGATGCAGTTGACAAGCCATATTTTTTCTACCTTGTATGGGATCGACCCAATTCACTCTATGTATCGATATTCAGATGCTGCGAATCATCATGTCTGGATGTGTTCCTCGATGCCGTCCTACGCAAACTGTAATGAGGGCGACGCGCCCACTGTAAGGGTAGTAGTCAATGAACAGGCAATATTTGCATTACTCTTGGTCTACTGAAGCCCGAATGCATGGAATATACATCCCAGATCATGGGCTACAACCAGTTGTGAGAAGAAGATTACTGTCTTCGGTCTATACTTGCTGCTATCATGCGCTGCGCTGTGTGACACCTCAAGATATACTCTAGATGCTTCAGGCCAACAGCATACGCGTTCGCAGTGAAGCTGTCTATACATAGTTCTAGACTTGTGGGTAACTATCCCTGGGATTCTCTTGATCCCTGCTGTTCCTGAGAGCACCATGGTCCTCAGAGAGCAGTTCAAATTCCTCCCATCGATTGGCAAAGCCCTAGATATCGACCAGATAGATTCTCATGTTCATGGATGGTATTCGCTTTGAACATTGGTGACATATTATGAAATCAGCGATCCGTTGCGTACTGACTAGGCATATCTCGAGACGTCGATTGCGATATTCTCGCCTGGAGGAAATTTTAGATGTCTGTTATGTTAAATGAAATCAAAGGAGCCGATGACACCTGTTCGGTTCGTGAAATAGGTATAAAAAATTAGGCAGAATGGAACAACAAATTTAGTATTCGGTCCAGCATAGCCGGTGTACTTGCACAGCTATCAGAATCATAATACCACCAAAGCGTCTGGCCCCTTGCAAGACCTCACAGTCTGTGTCGCTACAGTCCGTCCGAAGAAACTGGCACTTTCCTGATCAACAGAAGCTCCAAGTCTAAAAGTATGTATTTGCGTAGCCATGCTTCACGCGAGGTATATAGAAGTGTGCGATAAATTGTAGATACACCGCCATTGAGCTTCGCATGTGCTGCTTGCTATATTGGTTACTAACTCGAATATCTCGCGGTGGAACCCTGTGGAGGCAAAGATGTCGAACGCCATCCTAACGTGACGAGAGCTCCATCGTCAAGGCGCAAGCTACGTAAAATATGAACTGTCTTCTTCTGCAGACGCTCCAGAAGACCACAGATATAGGGTCTACTGCTATCTTGTCGCGGAGGCGCCCGAGGAAACCCGAGTCAAGGCAGGTCATGAAACAGCACACCGCACGACACTGCTACCTTCATTATCGACGAAGGCGCATTCAGACGAGACGCCCAGGCTTGATATCACATACTGACATCAACCGGCGGAGTTCCTCCGCAGTGACTGTGAACTGTATATTCGCCGTCCTGCTTCAAAAATCCCAAACAAGATCGCGATATCAACCCATCGATGTCACAGCCCAACGGTTTGAAATCTTACGCATGGCTCCGTAGCCGATGACGGCATTTCACTTAGTTTGACTTGCTTCCATCCGTATGTGGCAGCGAGTAGACCAACCTCCAGTTCAAGTAGGGTACCACTGACTGGGCTAGCGCTGTCCCAGGGGCTGTTGGCATTCTTGCAGAGACATGGAAGGTCCACGTTATTGAACACAACGGATTACCACCTGACTACCAGGCCCATAAACCAGAAACAAAACAGGAGGGTCCTGTAAAAGTCATCGCACATCTCCTTCCGTCAATGGCAGATGTCGAGAGAAAGGAACTCCGTCGCACGACCTCATTCTAAAAGCTTCTAAAACTTCCTGATAGATGCTTCTCCCGGTACTTCCCAGCGATCTTCTTGTGCTTAGTACTCTTGGCACGCTGCGCATGCTTGTTCTTATATTGTGTTAGCATCAAACAAACACTACCGAATACTATCAAATACTACTAAATACTTACAGCTTGCAGCCATTGGCGACAGCCGGCTCGCAATGAACCGCTTGGACGCACAGGTCCCATGGTGGCAGGCGGAACAAGGACTACTTAAAATTAAAAATTAGTAGCTATAACAGAAGCATTTAGAAGCAACATGTACTTACAGGGTATGCTTTTGCAGCTCTTTCTCATTCCACTCCTCCGAGTCTTCGGTATCTTCTAGTGTCTCCTCGACTTTGTCATAGTTATGCAACTCTTCAGGCTCGTCGTCGGCGTTACTAGTAACAACCGAATCCTTACGAACGGACGAGATAGTCTCCTTTTTGATCTGGTCTTCTTTGTCTGAATCTTCGCTGTATTTACTGTTAGCTACTAGCATTGATCAGAAAATCCAATAGACTACTTACATAACAAATTGCGGCTGGTCACGATAATTTATATCAGAAACAACCGGATTTATGGCAGATATCAGTACCTATTGTTGACGACCGGAATTCCCTTTCAAGATTCGCCAGCCTAGATCAAGACATATTCTCGTTGATCTCGTTGTGCAAGGAAGGAAGAAGTACCTCAGCAACCTCAGACAGCCATGGAAGCATAGACGTCACAAGTAGGCAAGGTAGTCCACCATTTACCATGCATTTACGGGTATCGAGGCCGTGGGTTCCGCGAATATATTGTTGATAGCCCGAAGACCTTGTTTTAGAAACCTCCTGGCGATGCTAATACCATGTCAGCTCACTGCTCTGCGTCCCAGTCTTCACGTACCAGAACTCTACGCAAAAATTTGGAAAATTTCCCGTGTATATAAGGGCGGCGTTGCAGCCAGCTCTCAGGCAATCCCATGACAAAATCGATGCATAGCACCTCCATCACAGTGATTGCCGTTGTTTTAACCAGCATGACCATTGCGCTACCGTATTAAGGCACCAAGCGCTGTGGAAGGTATGATATATGGCCGAGGACCCAGTTTGACACATCGGCATGATTGGGGTTGGCTGTATAGTTGGTGATTGGGCGGCTTGCACCCGCGCAGGATGGGAAACATGATATATATTCAGGGAGGCTATCTCAAATACACGGCATATAAAAATGTGATGCCAGTTGTACGTAAGCCCAATCAAACCAGCCATGTGTATTGAGGTCGTGGACCAGCTTGAAGATTTCACGATGAGACTCTGCCATGATTAAACTCATGAGGCCACCTCTTCCCACGTTCAAGGACGCCCTAGCGACTAAACATTCACGCCTTGCGCAGCACGCTGTTCATGCTGGACTTCGGAAAGCGGAAACTGTAAGGCCCGTTCCCTTCTCAGAGATATCGATGACTACGTCGACCTGCCATTGCCGCTTTGCGCAAATGTATTGAATGCGAATACCAGGCGTAAGATCGACGGGATTACCGTTGCTGGAGGTAAAGAAGTTACAGTCCTCACGATACTGATATGGCACTGTCTTCATCAGGCTGCATGGCTCGCGTGGCGCTTGGAGGCCGTCAAACCTAGGGACGGTGGGGGTTGAAGTCTGCGAGTCTGGACTAATCTGTCGAAATATAGGCGAGTTTCGAGCTGATGGAAGTTGCGCCAATTCATATCAGCAGGTAGACAATTGACGCAGGTATATCATCGGGAGGTAGGTATGTGACACAGCTTTGAATTGGATTATGGTGAATCAAAGTGCCTACGAGCATATGTGAATAAATGCTGACTTGAATTTCCTTCGTTTTGAGTGCATTTCCCATATGTAACTTGAGAGATTCCTCTTGATCCTGCCTAAGAGGGAGGCTCTGTCTGTCTGAAAGAATCAATCCGCCAGGTTTGAGCAGAAAACAGTATAGTTGTTTATGAATGCCTTGGTGCATAACAGGTCTTGTGCTGCATACAAACAAGCATGACTGCGCCAGGAGCATCTTCTGGTTCAAGTTTGGTAGACGAAGCGTTAAGACGTCGTCTATCACCAGGGACTTGTGAAACATGATATGCACGCGCCATAGTCCTTTTAGTCTCTTTGCATATGTAGCAAGCGGTGGGACTCATTCCCCTCTACACTCGCAGCTGAGACAATAGTCGGTGAAGGATACGGGCCACTTCAGATCCCTGTCGTCGGGCCCAACGGTCTTCTTCACAAACCCTGAGTGCCCTGGCAGCCAAGACACATTCGGTTAAATAAGAAATCTTGATCCTGGAGGTCCAGAGAGATACACAAGCCGCTCTCAAAGCAGAAGAGAAGGGGCGCCAAACCGACAATCCAGACAATATACAGCAGAGGACAGTGCTTTTGGCCACGATAAATCAATGATCGTTGGCTTCTTCGACGAGGAAGAGGTTATTGCACTGGCCTGTGATCTCCTTCTGCCAGACAACCGCGGCATACACTATTATTGTGCGTGCTCATGTCACTGTCAGGGGCGCGCAGAGGATAATTCGTGGAGAAAAACGCGCAGAGCCGTTATGAAATTCCCGACAGGGCTGAATTGGATTCGTACGACGCTGAGCTCCGAGCTCTAGCCAAGGGTATTCCAGGGTTTATTTTGGCCGTCTGTATATGTCGTTTGGTAGTAGCTGAGGACAGTACTACCGATTCACTACTCGTCCGATGCCACGACCTCCGGCGACACGACGTCACAGTATGCAGTATAGGTAGGCAATGATTTCGTGTCGCGGTTAGTAGAACCGGTTTCCTTTTTGTTTGCCTGTGTCTTACCTAGAAGTGAATCATATAGCGAGCGGGACATCACCGAGCATCCATCACTCAGATAATAATAATGCATATAGCCGCGGAGTGGACCAGCACCAATTGTCGCCACAGTCTCCGCCGACGCCATTATAGCGTGCGATTGTTATCAATTGTTTGCAACTGCCATTGCGTGATCATCCAAAGAATGTCTTTCTAGAAGTAAAGAACACGAGGTATTTCACGCCCACTATTTGCGAGTCGTGAATTATCGTATTCATCGCAGAGCCTGGCTCAATGCTACGGACCGAGTCAGGACCTGCAGGAACATGTCTTGCATTCGAGATAAGCCAGGGTCTTCGGGATGTCCAGGTACAGACAGCTTCGGAGGCCTCCGAACACCCAGAGTCAGCCCACCTCCATGATAACAAAGTGTCCTCAACTACTGCAGGGACCCTGGCTATATAACACGAGTATTAAGAAGGAAAAAACTTTCTCGTCCAACAGTTCTTCAGGTACGTACATGTGATACGCTAACGGCGATGCAACCATCCTATCAACCACCAGACCGGCGGGGTCTGAGCAACGGACACGAGCTGCCAATGATGGCCGCCATGCCTGACAACTAACGCGGTCAACAGAAGAAAATAAGCAAGCAGGAGAAGAGGATAGACTTGGCATGCTCTCACCGCTGGACATTGGCGCAAAACCTCCCGCGCATCCGCACCAAATTGCTCCATTTCAATCTAAACGGGCTTGGCGGCAGTTAGCCTAGGAGCTTTCTACCGACGGGAGTCTCTGGCATGTGAAAGACAGCGGGCAGATTAGCGGCATTTGTGGTTCTTCTCAGATCCACGATGGGACCGCAAGGATGCGTAACGGTCTATGAATGGTTTACAGGGGGCTGGAGAGCCCACTAAGTATTGCTTAAAACCCCTCATCGTCACTGGATATGGACATCCAAAGGGTGCTTTTGACGTCGGTGGTTATTACCATCCGAGTAACTCCGGTCCATATCTATCCCAGAATGGGAATCTATGCCTTTCAACTAGTGTCCCGTAGGTGATATGAGACGCTGGTGAGACTTCGAGGCTCAGCGGCCGTTCACAAATCCGATTGGAGGCATTTGTTGCTTACGGCACCGTTTCTCTCATTGATAATAGTTGGTGGTTTGTACATAGTCAGAGCAATCCAGGTCTGCTCAACTGGATCATTCTGGACCATGCTCCCTTGATGTTCCCCGCAGCATGTATGTACCTGGCAAGGATGGGACTAATGCCAACCATCTACCAGACCAGGGGCCCAGTTCAATCCATGATTTGGGAGTTGGCCGCATGGATAACTTTGCGCTACTCGGGGACTATGCATCGATCAGGCACAATGCCGTTGGTAGCCGGTCCGCCAGGGTACGAGGTTGCATTGCAGGATCCGCTGTTTGAGGTAGAGCAAAAAGTTGAACAAATTTTCCTTTATACAAACTTATAAGGCAATCATTTACCATATTCCGAAGGATCTGATATCTCAAGGATCTACGTGATCGGCTTGCTCCTGCTATCACAACCTTCTCACCATCGTTTAACGCAAGCCAGCACTGGTCCGTCCTCTGCCGCGTCGTCCGCCAGAGCTAGGGCGATTCCTAAAATAAGAAAGTCCCGAACAGGTACGGAGTACGTGGCTAACGCTAAGCAATGTCCATCTCTGCGGACACCACACCTTCTTGTTTGGGGGGTTTTGCCCGACGGCGCTGGCATCGTGAGATGTCCAGTCTCGCGATAAGGCACGAGGCGGCCTTGACAAATTAAACGGCGTCATCACGAGTCGGCCTGCTTCTGCATCGATGTCAATCCACCATCCAAACCCCGCCCCATCGTCCAAGCGGGATACCTTCTCGAACCGGTTTACGTCGGAGGGGCAGGGCCATACGATGCCGTGTGCCAATCGACCCCTCTCGGGGGCTGCAGCACCGCCGGGGGGGATGACGACCAGCCTTCTATCTTTCTAGAAGACCCCTAGGTACATGACCTGGTTGCATCGTGTCCCTCTAGCGCTGCTTTACCCCAGGTCAAGCCTACACCGTCAGCCTAACGAAGTCTATTCCGTCAGTTCCCTCCAAGCTAGCACCATCTCCGCTCCGGGCTCCATTGTGCGTTGTTAAAAGCGCATTCTCGCCCCACGCAGGTGCCAATGAGTTGTTTGACACCTTGTCTATTTGCTTACTGCAATTACGTACGTGAATGCTGAACAGTCGTTATGACCAAAACTCCTGAAGAGACAAAGTATGATGTTCCCTCTTGGGACCATGGATCTATGCATGATGTCCACAATAAACCCGGCCAGAGGGCTTGCGAGGACATTGCACGCCCCAAAGGCCGCATTCGGCGCTCCATGACAGCCTGTCATACTTGTCGAAAGCTCAAGACCCGTTGTGACTTGGATCCACGGGGGCATGCGTGCCGGCGCTGTATCTCTTTGAGGTGAGACATGGACAACACCCATCTCTTGGCGTATTCTCTGATTGCCTGTGATAGAATCGATTGCCAGCTGCCCGAGACAACTGAGCGCCCCCAAGATACAGCTTCAACATGGTCAGATGCGACGACGGCCATTCCCTCAATAGAGGAGCGCTTGTCGTCTCTGGAATCAAGTATGAAGGAAATGACGGGAATGCTACACCAATTGCTGGAGCAGTCCCCAACGCTTCATAGCACTTCCATGCCCCAGTTGGCCCACAGTGTTGTAACAGACGACGCAAGGTCCTTGGAAGGAATCCCAAGCCCTCTATGGAGCGTCTTACCCAGACCAGCTCATATAATGCACGAGCTTCAAGCAGACATATTCCGAGAGCCAGACTATGTGCCCGTGGAGACTCCCTACGTGGGCGGTGTTCTAGACCCCAAGCTTGATTCCAAATTGATGCAGATGTATGACGCTTCGCACTCATAATACAATACGCATTCTGACTCCTGCTATAATAGATTTGTGGGGCATTTTGGTCCCTGGGTGTCCATATACTTTCCGTCCGATGTCTATAACGATACTAAGCAATCTCAGTCGTTGCTGCATAACACCGCATGTCTTCTAGCCTCTCGATATATGCCCGGGGTTGCCTCGCCTGTGGTGCAAGCCATGTATCTCCAGATACGACAAGAATTGATGCATTCTCTGTGGGGCCCGCTGCCATTGAAGTTTGAGGTCCTTCAAGCCATTGCTCTCCTGTGTCTATGGCCCACGCATTCTGTCCAGAATGGCCCGCCCATGGACAGCTGGTTATTAAGCGGTATTGCTCTTGACCATGCCTTGATGTCCTTTGATTTCCTCAAAAATGCTCCCTACGAACGCGTAGTGGACAACGACATGGTATCACAGCTGAGACTGTGGAATGCACTATGCTTAGCCCGTGTCCAGTGAGTACAATCCCCCTTTCCTTTCCTCTGCATACTAACCTATAGTGCAGGTCTTCAGTTGCACATGCTCGTCCGTTCCACATTCCCCAGAGATACCTTGACCACTGCCCACGCCTCCTGGAGCACCCAGCCGCAACGTTCGAAGACGGAAAAGTCGTCGCAGAAATACAATTATACCTGATCACTCTGCGTCTGCAAAGAAACTACCAACGGATGAGGGTTTCAGACATCGAGTACGAAGAACTCGAACGGTGGAAGGTAGACTGGGCCCATCTTCTCAGTAAGTCTCCCCCCATACCCCTGCACGATACAGATCCTAACCTCCCTCCAGACGGCGAGGAAAACTCCACCATCGAGCTCAACCTCTGGTTCTGCCAAATCCTCCTTCACCGCACCGCAATGAAATTCCAATTCGACACCGAACGCCTCAGCCTGGAAGTCATCCAGCTCTCGCGGCTGATCGTGTCAAAGGTCCTACAAGCCCGTCTCTCCACGGCGCTGGGATTTATCGACCACGTGTACGTCATACTCGGCTACGCAACGCTCAACCTCTGCGACGCAAACACCCTCGACCCCCTCATCGAGGATATCCAGATGTATCTGCTCCGTCTCTCGCCGAACGAGCGGCACATCACGTACCGCTACTCGTGCATGATTGCGGATTTCAAACAGCGCTGCGCGGAGTCTCAGCTCGCCTTTGGGGATGCGCAGGCGCGAAAGGCGGATGCGGAGCAGATGCAGCTCGTGCACCCACTGGTGAATGCTATGGGCGACGGATGTCCGCCGTGGAGCCAGATCATCCCTGATTTCGTGGCGCAGTCGTACCCTGACGGTATGTTTGATAGTATTGCGGTGGCGGATGAGAGCCCCGCTGTCTATCGCTCGGCGACTATGTGATGTTGATGTTGGTAATGGCTGCTCGAGCGGGTCTCGCGTGAGGATAGATGATAGACATGGTCGCTTTACATCTGCCTCAAGTAAGGTAGCTAATGATATGTTGGAGTGAAAGCGATTATCACTTAACTTTTGTAAATCTCTGAAGTAATCCTTTGAGGGTATTCGGTCCTTGCGTCCCGCACAAGCCAGTATAAGGCATGAGCCGTGGCTCTTACTCTTCCGGGAGTCCCTAAGCGAAAGGATTCGCTTAAGTAGATATACAGGCCCAAATCCGGGAACACTGGTATCTACACGATCGACTCGGCAATGATCGTCACTCGTGCATACAATCCTCTCTCTAATTGGTCTGGAACAATGTGATACAAGCTAGCGGAATTCATATGTATACACAACACGGGAAATGCGGGATCACCCCCTGCCGCAGCGGCTTCTACGAACTGCCAGTGCAGATGCTGGTCGAGTTCAGCTTGGCGCTCGGATACAGCACCCTGGGCAAGCCGCTCTCCATCGGCACGGGGACCTTGCCATCCGAGCCAACCGTCACCGTGGCGCAGGAGTAGATCTCGATTAACTGCGTGCCAGCGGAGTATCCGGTCCCATCGAGCGACAGGGTATACGAGGAGCCGGAGGCACCCTGGTTCGAGAGCACCGTGACGACCTGCAAGCCGTCGGTGCCCTTGCGCATGGCGAGGGTGTTGGTGTCCTGATAGATCGGGGTGTTCTAGAAGGTGAAGGGTTCGGTTAGATGCCGGGGTTATCTTCTGTTTTTAGGGCCGGGGACCTCGGTGTCTCGGTAGAGGGAGCAAAGCATGGAGTGACTAATTCATGCAGGCACATACCTTGTACGTTACATAGCCGGAGTCACGCTTAGCGGCGAAGGTGCGCAGAGCGTTGGAGGTGGCGATCAACTCGTACAGCGGGCTGGTTGTCGAGTAGCCGGACAGCCATGTGGCCTCGCGGTTTGCCGGGTCATTTCCACCGGAATAGTGCTGTTCCTGTCCCGCGTAGATGACTGGGATGCCGTCTGCGAAGATCACGAAGGCGGCGACGTTCTTCGCAAGGGACATGTCATCCGTGTAGCTGTGTTGGTTTGTTAGCTTAATGTATATAGCTGCCGGTGGACTAGGCTTACGAGGCAAATCGCGGGTTGTCGTGGTTCTCAATGAAAGTTCCGAGAAGAGTGGTGTCGGCGCAGGCGGTCTTCATGGTGTTGATCATACTGTAGAGGTCGCTGATACTTCCCGAGGTCGACTTGAACGCATCGAGGAGGGGGTAGTAGCTGCGGAGGATCTTAGTTAATGCTGGCAAGCAGAATTCGGCGCCATTAACTTACACGGGGTAATTGAACACCCCATCCAGATAGTTCTGGTAAGCGCAGGTGTAGGATGGATCACCATCCAGCACCTCACCGAGACAATACACGCCAGCAGCGTCATTGTAGCCCGGCCAGAAGTCTTTCTGGACATGCTTGACGGTGTCGATGCGGAGACCGTCAACTGGGAGGATCAGTCAGTGCCTGCGCGTTGGCTGTTTGAAAAGCACGACAGCTTACTGGAGTAGTTGGCCACCAGCTCACCGACCCAGTCGTACCACATGTTCTGGACATCGGTTTTGGTAGTGTCGAGGTCAGGCAAGGAGACGCTGTTATCGCCTAGCCAGCAATCCTCCACTTGTGTCTGATTGTCATAGTTCTCGATCAGACAGAAAGAATGGAAGTAGTCCTGTGAGTTGAATGGGTTGAAGACACTGTAGTCCACAGAGCTTCCCGCACCATCATAGCCCTAAGTAGCTGTCAGAGACTGTCTGCGTATACTCAAGCGGACTAACGAACATAATGATTGGCAACCACATCGACCATGAGATACATGCCGCGTTTGTGGAGCGCAGTTGCAAGCGCTTTCAGATCATCAGCGGTTCCGTAGTTCTCATTGAGCGCATAGCTAGACGAGTTTAGTACTATAATATGCCTTCAGGAGGGAGTTACAGCACTTACGCATCTTGCTGCCAATATCCATGATAGGCCTCGCCATATGCGGTGTCTTGGGGAAGTTGCTTGGTCACGGGGGTGATCCAGATGGCCGTAAATCCCATGCCTTGGATATAATCAAGCTGTGATTTTGAAGTTAGTGCACCGCCAGCCTGGCGAGAGGCCGAAAGAAAACTCACCTTGTCAATGATGCCCTGCCAGGTACCACCACAGTATTGCTTCACGGAATTAGTCTTCTTTCCAGATGATCAATTGGGACTAGGCCGACAAACCCTTGCAGATGTATCACAGGCTGCTGTAGTGGAGCCATCGGTCTGCGCAAAACGATCCGTGAGGAGGAAGTAAATGGACTGCGACCTCCAGTCGGCAGGTGTCGCCGCAAGAGACGTTGAGGCAATCGCGCCGAGAAGCAAAGGCCACCAGGAACGCATTTTGAATGCTCAAAAAGATACTCCAGCCGATACAGAGGCAAAGCCAAGTCCGTTTAAGCCTTTAATAACGCAATCTGATCAGCACGTCCATGGGCAGCGCTTTTGTACCCGTTGAAGATACTCTGGGATATCCAGACGGCCCCAAGGCCATGCCACTATTGGCCCATGGTATTGTTTCACTTGAATCAGTGCTCCGAGAGTCGACGCCTGTGATTTGTGCCCGGAACCTGGCGATGGGCAAGTAATCTCCTTCGATTCTCCGCCCCCTGTCCGCGCGATGAAGATCACTTAGATCGTGGTTAGGATCGACGCGGCCAACTTCCGCCATCAGGATAGTCGGATAGCCAGAACTCCGCAACGGTCTTTTGCAGGGGAGCACGGCCTTAGAAGTCCAGAGGCCCTGGTGATGGAACTAGGTAGATGTGCTAAAAGCGCCACGCTCGTCATGGGGGAACACTTTCGGGATTCAAATCATGCAGCCCCGCATTCCTCAGCCCAGTTTCTTGCCAGAGCTGTTTGTCCATCGGAGAAATGTATCCTTGCGCTCAAGGCAGATGGATACCCTTGCAAGTGGACAAAAGACCGACACGGCATCCGCCCTCGTCGGAGTTGGTTAGCTAGCATATTGTCTCCGAGAGTTGGCGTGGAGAATATGGAGGGCTAGATTGGCCGGACGTTACGGCCTCGGGGCTTTTGCGCTATACGGAACGGAAAGAGCTCGGCAATAATATATACCTCATTACAGCACAGAGACTAAATCACATGTAATGTACAATGTCCGAAGGAGATGGAGAAAAATAGATCTGGGCCCGACCACTATGAGAGATGTAGTCCGTCCTAGGCACTCGGCTGTTCCATCGTCCCCTGAGTATCAAGCTTTTTCTAAGACACCAAGCCGTACTAGTAGATCTCAAGGAGAATCTTGCCAGTGGGTGTTTGTGATCCGGAATATTATCAGGATGTTGTAATTGCAAATGTGGGAGGGTTCGCGTAATTTCATCTAATCTTCGCTGGCTGAGAGTTTGTAGTCGGAGAGATGACTGAGAAGGTTTTGATGCCAGGTAAGGTGGTCTTGAAGGGAGGAGCCATGGTGAATAGGAGAGTGACGATATGGACGAGTGAAGTATAAGAAGTAACAAGCTCAACAGTGGGATCAGGAAACACGGACGCAGCGGTTAGCCCAAGTATATCTACGCATTTTCTGATGTCACTCTGGTATTAACAGGTTGCTGATAGCTTCAAGGGACCTGTTCACTGTTGATTATTTTGGGGCCTATAATGGATCTCAACTCTCTCCTGTAAGAAACATGGATACTGCAATCTCATACAGCTGACGAGAAAACATTGAGTTACACTGTGTTTGATGCACACCTGGCGACAAATTGCTGCAAGTATTCTTCGCTAACCCTTGTAGATGTGTAACTGGGAAGTTTTCATTTATATACTAATCATGGCGATGGCTTGCAACACATTCTTGAAACTATTTTCAATTCACTGCGTATATACAGAGGCAGTTCTTACAAGAGATATCACAGATTCATACTGTGGCAAGCAACTAGCTATATCACCTACCACTCCAGGACCCAGTCCTTGGCCCACGCGCCCTTGCCAGTCAGCTCCTGGAGACCTCCGACAGAGAGAACCTGCGAAGTCGCATTGTAGGCGACCGAGCTGATCTTCTTGCCATTGAACCGGACATTGCGCGGCTCCTTGGCCACACCAAGGACCGTCACGTTGGCCAGAGCATTCGACTCTTCCCAGTTGCCTTTGGGCGTGGCACGCAGCTTCGAGTGCGCAGCCTGGAATGTGACAAGAAGCGTCTCATCCGGGGTGACGCTTTCGCCGTCATCGAGATAGAGCTCGCCCCAGGCGGTGCCCTCGCTGCTCAGTGATGTCAGAAGCGACCAAGGCGTCTTGCGCGCATCGGTGGTGGTCAGCGCGGGCTCCTGCATCGGGATGACACTGCCACCCCGGACAAAGACCGGGATGTGGCCGAGAGGAGCAGAGAGAGTCTTGTTGACACCCGGCTCCGCGTCAACCGCAGTCTGCGTGTACCAGTCGTACCAGACCTCGCCGTTGCCAACACCGGGGAAAACACCCTTGACGGTGTCGACCTGGGGCTCCCAGGACCGGGACGACCATGACGGAAGGCCCGACCATAAACTGGGTGTCGATGGCGGCCAGCGAGGGGTCGTTGGGAAACTCCCACGCCAGGGCGCGCATGACAGTCGAGCCCGTGGTGTGGGCGAAGTGGAAAAGAGTGTAGAAGTAGGGGAGAATGGCGTAGCGGATCTTCATGGCCGCCTTGCTTGCGTCAATAACCGACGCCCACCGGTAAGGTTCCTGCGGGATAGCCGAGAGAACATTGTGGTTACGGTAGAAGGGGAAGAAGGCGGAGAGTTGCATCCAGCGGTTGCAGAGCTCCTCGTCGGTGTTTCCGTTGAAACCGCAGGTATCGGTACCAAACATGGGGATACCGAAGAGAGAGAACGAAAGGGCCTGAGAGATGGAGAAGTACATGGATCCCCACTTGGAGATGTTATCGCCGCCCCAGTGACCGGCCCATTTTCCAGAGCCAGCGAACGTGGAACGAGCGATAATGAACGGACGCTTCTCAGGCCATACTCCAAGGAGACCTTGGTAGGTGGCATTGATACCCTGGTGGCCAAACAGACTGTGCACATCGTACTCCTGGACCCCATCAACGTGAGTGGAGTTGGGAGAAATCGCATGAACAGCGAGATCGTGGCCCGTCTGGACATGGTTGATCACGTAGGGAGGGTGGTTCACATTGCGAACGCCAGCAGTGGGCGTGGTACGCAGATAGGAAGTCGTCGTCGACGGAGAGGTTGGAGCTGCAGCAGCCTGGCTGGAAGAACCAGCGGATGCAGAGGCAGCCTCGGTCGCGTTGGTCTTCTCAAAGCCCTCAGGATAGTCGTAGACGACGTTGCCTGGCTCTCCGGGCAGCGCGAATGGTGGGTGAACCGGGTTGAGAGTCAAGTTTCCGGTACCGCAGCTGCCGACACAGAAAGAAGACACTTCAGCCATGTCGTACCAGATACCATCATATGGCAGTTTCTTCCACCAGGTCACGATCTCGTTGGCCCAGAAGTCCACTGCCTTAGGGTGATGCCAATCAGGATAGACGGTGTAGCCGGGCCAGACGGCTCCAATGTAGAGGCTGCCATCGGGGTTCTTGATCCAGAGATCATCCGCAGCTCCTCGGGTGTATGTTTCATACCTGGTGACATGATTAGTAAAGGCACAACCGGGTGTATAGGTTTAGCATGACTTACGCATCAGAAGCATTCTCGGGGTTCGGGATATAGAGCGCCCCATCAACAATCGGGACCCAGTGGCGTCCACTGTCGTGGAGTTTGTTGAGGAACTCGACACCCTCGTCGTATGGGAACCGGTGGACATCGTTGTCGAAGTTCCGGTAACCGTGCATATAGTCAATATCAGACCTAGAAGTGTCAGACCAGGAGACCAAGACTGGATGCATCGACTACATACCAGATGTATTCCAGAGGAATCTCGAACTTCTCAAAGTTCGCCACGACATCTGCCAGCTCGGTCCAGTTGTTGTATCCCCAGCGGCACTGGTGGAAGCCGAGCGTGCTATACTTCTGCATGGCCGGCAGACCAACAGTACTCTTCAGATACTGCTGGGTGACTTGGACCTGGCTTGGGCCGGCGTAGAAAGTAAGATCGATGCTTCCACCGAGAGTACGCCATGTCACACCCTTGGGGTTCAGGAGGACCTCCTGTCCATGGGCATTTCTCAGGAAGACACCATGGGAATAAGACACATATTCCTCAGAGGCATCGGCCTTGTCGGTCTTGACCAAAGTGTGAGAGCCGTGCTTGTCCACTTTGTAGTATCTGGTGTCCAGATAGAATGGATGCTGGCCATAGATATTGCTACACGACAATGTCAGTAACAGATCTGCTTGACCCCGTTTGCATCGCTGCTTACCTATCAATCGGATCACCAATATCCGCCGCATACATGGTCAGAGTGGCATTGCGCAGCAACCGCAGCTGGGCCATCCGCTCACCCAAGCCATACAAGTTGTACTCCTCAGGCAAGGCGCTCACAAACTCGATGAACTGGTTTTCATACACCAAAGTGGAGCCTTCGGTATTGAAGAGCTCATCTCCGGTGGCTTTGCGGGTCACCTTGAAATTGAAGGATGGTTCATTGGACCAAGAGAAAGCAAGATCGCTGTCATGAGCCGAGCCATCCGACGAAGCCTGGGGCCGGGGCACCAGGTCCTCCGAAAGGATGTACCAAGAGGCATTGGACGCGTCAACGTGAGTAGGGGTGATCTGGATGTTCAACCGATCCTTCGCCTGGTACTCGACGGTCAAAGTCAAGGCTTCGACATCCGTTCCGTACACATTGCAGGGGTCTCCCGCCAACTCCAGACTAGCCGTAAACCCATGAGAGTTATGATGAACATCCGAAGCCCGATATCCAGGGCACACACTCTGCGCATTCACGGCCTGCGGATCGTCGATGTTGGCGATCAATTGAGCACCGACGTCGGCCGACGCAGGGATGGTGAACTGGGTGTGAGAAGCCGTCGCGGAGGTGCTCGGGGCCAGGGTCTGACTCGCCCCATAGACCACCGGGAGCAGGCAGGCACCGGCCAGAAGGTCGGTGATGTCAACCATGCTGAAGAAACGAGGCCGTATTCCCCTCCAGCTTCAGCGTAGTGGTGGGTGAGAACAGCACGGCCATCCTGCCCGACCGAACCACGACATTTTAAAACGAAATTCCTGTTGGTCCGGGTGGCAGCATTCTTCGGATGATTTCACAACAACACTCGTCCTACGCCCCCAACAAGGAAAGAATTCTCCGTCGAATGTCCGGGGGCTTTACGAGCGGGATGGGGAGAGCCGCAGACGAGAGAGCAAATTGCAGGCCATTGCGGGGTGAGGTCGGGGTATAGGCTTCGCCAGACAGCAGACGAGTCGGACCGAGTGGAGAAGCCCCAGGCCCCCAGAGGAGAAAAGGGCAATGGGCATGTCGATGACGAGGAACAAGGCGACGGAGGAGGAGAAGATGAGGAGCTGTCAGTGTGTCTGATTGGCTGCTACGCCCGATAAATGCCCGTGGCCTGCGGGACCGTCCACGGTACTATATACGAGGCCGGCAGGCGTAGATTACAATCCCTCCTCAGCACATGCTTTCCATGCTCTTCCATGGCGTATATCTGCCCCTTGCCATCGCTTGGGGCCTGCCCGGTGAGAGTTTACGGACATGACGTCGTTTTGGAGGGTCGAGCAGGGTGTATCAGGCCATTCCTGAACCATACGATAGACCCTAACACCCCGTGGTTGGATACCTCGGCATGGTAACGACCCCGTAATGGTAGGGGACCCCGGCAAATGCCGACATCGAGGGAAGAGAGAGAGGGTCGAAAGGATCTGTGATCGTATTCCTGAGCCCGTCTTTCTGCCGATGCCGGACCTGTTATTGGCTGTCTTGTGCGGTCTGGTCTCGGGCTACAAGATGATGCCGTCTTGCGCTTACCGAGTCTGCCGTGAAAGAGACGGAGACGGGGTATTCCGTACTAAAGTATACTCCGTAGATGCTGAATGTGCGGCAGCATGTGGATTCAACTGGTACCCTATCCATTCGCCTCTCTCACGCTGTCCATATTCTCGGATCATATAATGAGCCCACCACCCTGGCTAACATCCACAAACAACCTTGGAAAGTGTACTACGAATGCTCTCGCGGGGCATCTGGCTTGTAAGCGATGGTCTGAGGGCCCAGCCTTTCCTAATCCAGGCCGACGTCCGGCTTTTCAACGCTGTCTCCCAATCGGCTATGCTGCCAGACTGCTGATCGAGCCAAAGGGACAAGCGACGCCCTTATGATCTGACTGGCACCAGCCCATCCCTCTCTTCCTGATTGCTCGATCCCCCTGCATGAGGTCGATTCCAGAAAATGCCGCATCCACAATCCATGTCTGTCGTAAATGAGGATTTCCTCTTTGGGCCGTCTCTCCTGGGGACCTGCGGGTAGACTAGCGCGTAGGCCGTCTAGTGGCCACCGCAAGGTGCCGGTATAGACCGTGTCTCCGTCTTCCGGCCTCCTGCTCCCCCGGATTCAGACGTCCCTGCGTCCAATAACGAACGAGGTCAGGAACGGCGCCAGCTTAGCAGACGGACAATATAGACGAGGACAGGCATGGCAATCCTGGGCCCTCGTTTTCCTGCGCACGATACCTTCCATGCGTGTTCTGGAGGAGGATCCACCCGCGACTAGCTGGATTCTCTTTAGATCCTTACTAGGGTGGGCGTGAAGGCGCGTAGCAGCCTGCATTTGCAGGCCAGCAACCCCGCCACAACTTCCCCAGATCCATTTGTCCCCTTCATTAATCCTGCCCTCCTCCCCTCCACCCTCGCCCTCACCACCACCTCCAGACGACTCAGATCTATTTCTGTCGGTGATGGCCTCCTTCGTTCTGCCATTCCACCTGCTCACCCGTCTTGCCTTTGTCTCTCGTTGATCTATGTAATGCGCCACGTTTTCTCCACTCTCCTTGCGGACCTGTAACATCATTACCATCCATCGTTTCATACCTCCCCGAGCGGAAATGGACTCTGCACCCACCAAGCAAAAACAGTTCAAACAGGCCTGCGACAACTGCCGTCGACGAAAGATCAAATGTTCGCGGGAGCTTCCGTGCGACAAGTGCCAGCGTCTGCTGCTCTCCTGCTCCTACAGCGACGTCTTGCGCCGCAAGGGTCCCAAGTTTCGCACGCTGTATCCCTTGGCGCCTATACACCCTCTCGTGTCACGACAGCGACAGCAGTCTGATCAATACAGTCTTCCGCCCGACCCGTTGGACAAAGGATGGATCACCGATGCTGCGGCATACCCCCTGGACTCGCCCATTTCCCCTCCTTTCACCGTCACCGATGCCCAGTACCTGCCGCCGGATCTCTCGGAGTCATGCATCCCCGCGCCACCCAGTCTAGATCTGGTCTCCTCTCCAGAGCTGACCGGCTCACTGCCCGATGCCCTGGTTGATCCCCTGCCTGCTCCGCGGAGGCTCTCGGGCCCAGTGCTCCTGGCTCATGTCAATGTTTTCCTCAAGTACCTGTTCCCGATCATGCCGGTGGTGCGCCGGGAGGAGCTCCAGAATGATTGCCACCATCCCGAGCAACTGACTGCCCAACGATACGCCTTTCTTGCAGCGCTATGTGCACTGACTCATATCCAATTGAAGTTGGACGGATCCAATGGCTCGTCGGTTCCGTCCCATCTCCCGCCGGGTGCTGATGGCCAGGCGGTCATGTCCGGCGAGGAGCTGCTGGAAGAAGCGGTTCGAGCCCGGAGAGACTGCGACCCGGTGGATGGCATGAACGTGGAATCCCTCCTGACGTCGTTCTTTTTGTTTGCTTCATACGGAAATCTCGACCAACAAGATCATGCGTGGTTTTACCTGTCGCAGGCCACGTCCATGGTGTTCACACTGCGGCTGAACCGGGAATCGACTTATGCCGAGATGAGCCCTGAAGAAGCCGAAGAAAAAAGAAGAGTCTTCTGGCTGTTGTTTATCACCGAAAGGTATGTGACAATGGGGCTCCCCGATGGTACATTGGCTAACATCCTCTTGCACAGAGGCTACGCATTGCAGCAAGCCAAACCGGTCATGCTGCGCAATTCCATCCATAAACCCCAGGTGCTCTGCGCGGATGACCCCATCCTGGCCTATGGCTTCATCAACCTCATCAACATCTTCGAGAAACTTACGGTGAACTTGTACGACTGGGTCTCTGCAGGTGGCGGAGACGGCGAGATGCCCCCAACATCTTCCATCCAGTCAAGTTTGTGTAAGGCGATCTCCCTCGAAGGCGTCTCCGAAATTCAAAAGGTCGACATCCTCATCACTCAGCAGTGGCTGCAGGCTATGATGTGGAAGCTCTCAATGACCCGTGCCTCTCAGCCTGGCTCCCGTGATGACGCCGTCCTCCCATTCCACCTGCCTGTGCTGGTCGGCAAGGCAGTAATGGGGGTCATCAGCGCTGCATCGCAGGGAGCGGTGGATGCGCATGGAATTGGAATGGTAGGATCATCCATCCAACATGAGTCGTCCTCCTTACTCACGTTCTTTTCAGGAACAAAAACTCTTCGATCTGGGCTCATCGGTCGCAGACGTCTCCCGGTCCCTAGGATCCAAAGCCGCGCACCGTCTGGCTGAGTCGGCGGTCGACCCGCGTGAGCTCCTCTGGGGAATTGTGTCCACGCTGTCGCGCATTCGCGGCTCCCAGTCATACCTTCTGCCAGCCCTGCTGGAACGCTGCCAAGGAATCCTCAGCCTGGAATGCCTCCTCTCAACAGGGAATTTCCTGCCGCCCTTGGACGATGCGCAGCCCCCGGCGGAAGCGGTCGAATGGACCGGCGATGAAGCCGACTGGGAATCTTCCAAGGACGACTCGGGCCTCGAGCCTCGTGGTCTTGAGATATGCATATAGTCACGCCGCTGCAATAGATGGACCCGGCGCAATTGGGTAGTTGCCTACTTCTGTTCTCGTTATATATTTCCTGATATACCACGTCCTCATGTGATGATATGAACCCCAATATACCCCTCTCTGTGTGTTAGGTTGTTGCTTAAGATTGTTTGTTATCGTTTGTATATAGATCAATGATGATTATGTTTTGATGAAGTCTGTTGGTTTATATCCTGCACACAATGCCTAGTGTCCATGCTACGACACAGAGACTACGCTAAGATAGCTCCGGCCCAACAATCTGACCAACGTAAGAGCTAATATTCCTTTCAATCAACTAACCTCCGTCTTACGCAGGATTCTGCAGAAATTGCTGGAAATGTCAGCATGTGAGTCATCGCCTAAGCCATGAGTCGTCCACGTATAAGCTTTCTTCACGAGCATTCCAATATCAAAATCAATAGACATACCCATACTCAAGCAACGAGATACCTGGAGATACCCATCTACAGACAGACATGGACCTTTTCTACAACCCATCCTCGGACGTGTCCCTACACGCACGCATATCTGACAATCCCAACACCCAGTCAAAACCCCTCCTAGTCTTCCTCCACTACTGGGGCGGCTCATCCTCCACATGGCACAAGCTCACATCCCCAACGTCCCCGACATCCCTCGCCTCCAGCTACCCCATCTTGGCCGTTGACCTCCGCGGCTGGGGCAAGTCGACCGGTCCAGCGACCGAAGACGGAAGCGCCTATTCCATCTCTGCCATGGCCGCGGACACGGCATCGCTCCTCGAGCATCTCAGCCAGGACGAGAATAGAAGCCACCTTCTGGCCCACGGATTCGTCCTGGTCGGACACTCCATGGGCGCCAAAGTCGCTCTGGGTGCAGTAGCCTCCCTCCCAGCCGGTCTCCGACGGCAGCTGCAAGGACTGGTGCTGGTTGCGCCCGCGCCCCCGGGGGCTCTGGATCTACCGGCTGAAATGAAGGAGCAGCAGAAAGCCGCATATGCGTCGGATGAGTCGGTCCGCTGGACGGTCGAGAATGTCCTCGCCAGCCCGGAAAACTTGGACGACGAGGATATGAGATTGGTGGTTCGGGACAGCTTGTCGGGCAGTCAGCTGGCCAAGGAGGCGTGGCCGACGTACGGCATGCGGGAAGATATCTCGGGGCGTGTAAGAGAGGCGTTGGCTTCCATGGGGAGTGCCGGACTCTGCGTTCGTATTATTGTTGGGGAGTTGGATGTTGTCGAGCCGAAGGAGCGCGTGGATGCGGAGGTTCGTTGTTTCTTGGAAGAATGTGGGATACCGGTAGTGCTGAGGGTTGCTGCTGGCGTAAAGCACCTGGTGCCGCTGGAGTGTCCGGAGGTCATTTACCAAGAGGTGTCTATATTTTGAGATTGATTGCAGCTGTGCAGCTGGTACCTGTTGTCCATGCCATCTTGAGGTCGATGAAACTACACGATAGAAGTAAATCCCTATAACCCGACAGGTTCCCCACGGTTTTCGCCAGAATTAATCGTTAAGGATCACAAAGCTGATCATTCCATTGGAAAGACTGTGTCACAGCTTATACTCTCTGGCTTCTTGGTTCAGCTGGCGTCCGTCAATCTAACAGACAACCACCCCAGCGAAACTACGATATCTAGATCCTTATGTTGTCCGAGTCAAGCATATCTTTGGCTGTTCAAGCAGCTAAGTATGCATCTGCCAGGGAAGGAGATCAGCAATCAGATAAAGCCAACTGCAGAATTTTCACCGTGGCGGTTGCTGATCGCTAATATCTCCACATCCCTTTTGTCATCCATCTGTCAGCAACTAGTTACTCCGTTCTATCCCTGAGGAAAACCGTTTAGCCGGAATTACAGCGTGGAAGAAGTATGGACAGCTGGGCCCGTTAAGAAAAGCAGGCCCACCGACGACCAGAGAATCCAATGCCAAATGCCTGGTACGCGGTCCACATTTCATACAAACGTGTGGCCACTCCGACCCTTTTCATCTGATAATTCCGCATGGCCTTGCCGGACTGCTTCCGTGGGCCAAGACGGTAACGAGAAAGAATGAGGAAGATCCCGACCCAGCCGGCCTCTGCTGGATATAAGGAGGAAGCTGTTCGGCATCGTCCTGGACCAGAGAAGGACCATTGCTTTCGAGACATCGTCCCTGTGCTCCGTTCAAGATGCGCACATACCTGACCAGCAGCCTGCTGGCGGCCAGTTGGGCATTCAATGCCCTGGCGCATACTGAGCCTGGCCACCACCGCCCCCAGGAATACGACTACATCGTAGTCGGCGGTGGTCCGTCTGGCATCATCACGGCCGAACGACTCGCGGAAGCGAACAAGTCGGTCATCCTGCTCGAGCGAGGCTACGGCCCGACAGTCGCGACGGGCTCCAACCATACGCTCCCCTGGAATAACACCCTCACGCCGATCGTCGTGCCCGGCCTGTCCTTCGACATTGGCAACATGGACCTCTGGAACGACTACATCTGCTCCGACACGGGCGGCACAGCCGCCTGCGTGCTTGGCGGCGGCGTCACCGTCAACTACATGGTGTTCGTGCATCCGCCCGCGCGCGACTTTGACGACAAATGGCCGCAGGGCTGGAAGTGGCGCGACGTCCAGCCCGCAGCGGAGCGGCTCTACGCCCGCAACCCGGGCTCTCTGCTGCCCTCGGCGGACGGAAAGTACTACGACCAGGGCCTGTACAACACCCTCTCGCGCTTTTTCTCCAGGCTGGGCTGGAAGTCCGTTGACATGATCGCCCAGCCGGACGAGAAGCACGACGTCTACAGCTATCCCGCGTGGAACATCAAGGACCAGCGGCGCGCCGGCCCCGTGCGCACCTACCTGCCGCTCGCGCAGCAGCGCAAGAACTTCGTCCTGCGCACGGGCACCAAGGCCACCCGGCTGATCCGCGCGGGCAGCACGGTGCGCGGCGTCGAGGTCGAGACTGACCGCGCCGGGAGGGAGGTGATCCCTCTTGCGCCGCGCGGCCGCGTGGTCCTCGCGGCGGGCGCCCTGTCCACGCCGCGCATCCTCTTCAACTCGGGCATCGGGCCGAGTGCGCAGATCGAAACCGCCCGCCGCAGTGGCGTCGTCCTCCCTCCGCGCCGCGAGTGGATTGACCTCCCCGTCGGCGTTGGGCTGAAGGATCATCCCATATTCTCCATCGAGGTCAAAACTAACGGCACGTTTGCGCCGCTGGACGCGCAGGCCATCTTGAATGGTAGCGCCGTCCGCGACATTCAACTGTATGAGGATGCCGGCTCGGGCGTGCTGACCGAGGGCAAGCACCGGATGATCTTCTTTACGTCCCGCATGGCCAGCGACAACCAGACGCGCTACTACCAGGGATCGTGTGCGCCCACCGGTGAAGGCGTCTTCACGATCACCGCGTACATGACGCACGGTATCACCTCGTCTGGTGTGCTAGGGCTGGACGCTAAGCAGAACACAGTCATTGAGAAGTCGCCCTACCTCCAGACGCCGGCGGATCGAGAGGCTGCGCGGGATTTCATCGAGCAGATGGTCGGCGATATCACTGCCCCTGGAACCGGCTTTGAACTCCAGACATATACCAACACCAGTGCCATTCTGGATTCCTTGACCAGTGGGATTCACTGGACGAGCACGACGAAGATGGGTTCTGACGATGGTCGTCTGAACGGCACCTCTGTGGTTGATACGAACACTAAGGTCTATGGCATGGATAACCTGGTATGTCATTTCCTTGGTAGATCCTGAGAGTAAACATGCTAATGCGTTGCAGTATATCGTCGATGGGGGCATCCACCCCGACCTCCCCACGGGCAACATTCAAGCTGCGATCATGATTGTTGCTGAGGCCGCAGTCAAGAAGATTTTGGAACAGGAGTAGTTGCTCTCGGCAATCATGCAGCGTGACACAGAGGTTTATGTGTATGTATAGTCTTTTATAGTGTAATATCTTTTTTTTTTTTTTTTATATGCGCCCAGCTAGCGAGTACCTAGCCAACACCCGTACAGCAGGTGCCAGGCCAGTCATTTTCCTATCTATCCAAAACAGATAAGTAGTGAGAATCAAGGACATCGCCTCCCCCTTTTGTACGACCGCACCTCAGCCTTGCAGATTGCGGCTAATAAAAGCCGAGAACGTCGCAATGTCTTAAGGACGAGTTAAGGACTTCTTGCTATAACATCCCTTCTCCCGCAGGCTGCTCTTCTTGCTGTCCGCCCACACGATGGCGACGCCAGAAAGACCCGACACGGCGGAGGCCGAGGACAAGAGATTCCTTTTCAAGTCGCACTCCACCAACATTGATCGACTGGCTGCACCGGCTAGAAGTGCATTCTCGAAGTGGAACTCCTCCATCCTGGACACATGGATGTGGGAGATTTTCTCCATAACTTTCAGCACTCTTTGTCTTCTCGCCATCGTTGGTATCATCCGATTCTACGACCAGAAGAAGACGCCCAGTTTTCCACACGGATTGACGCTGAACGCAATCGTATCTATTCTCGCGACCTGCTCCAAATCCGCCCTCCTTTGTATGATCGGTACATCTGTCGGCCAGTTGAAGTGGCTCTGGTTCTCCGGCAGGAAGGAACGCCCGCTCTATGACTTACAGTCTTTCGACGATGCGACCCGTGGGCCTTGGGGCTCAATGATGGTGCTGATGAGATGGCCACACAAAGGACACTTTCTCATATCGCTTGGGGCCCTAATCACTGTCGTTTCCCTTGCGTTCGACCCCTTTGCGCAGCAAATCCTCAGATTCCCTGTCAGACAGGCCCCCAGCGCCTCCAGCATTGCAACGGCCAAACAGGCAATACTTCCATGGCATCCACAGACTACACAAACAGAAGACGCCGTGTTCGATGTAATCGAGACTGGTATATTCTCTGCTGGATTTGAGCTAGATCCAGTCTGTCCATCGGGGAATTGCACCTGGCCTCCCTTCCACTCCGCGGGCTGGTGCAGCAAATGTGAAGATGTTACGTCGGAGGCCAAACTCGTTGGCTGTGACATTAGCTCCTTAAATACCAGCAGACGAGGGGATCAAACTGTGCCATGCAATATTACCTTTCCAGATGGATCTTGGATTAAAAGTGATCTCCAGGGATTCTGGAATGGGACTATTCCTGGCCAAGTACTCTCCTTGCCATCGGTCCAGGTAAAGGCTGTCAATGATCAGTTGAACGGACCATATCTTAACCAGTCAATCTTGGGCGTCAGTAGCCCCGTTTCTGCGTTTGTATTTGTTGAACTGGAGATATACAGTACGCCTAGTTCGGAAACCTTTTCCCGTCGAACTGCTCCAGAAGAGGATGAATGTCTCACGCGCCACGGAATGTGTGCTATCCCCATGCGTGAGAACGTACATGTCTGTCACGGAAGGAGTCTTATCAACGCAGACTTCTCTACCTGATTTTGGCGAGGTCTATCACCCTGAAAATTACCCTGGCAGGGACCGCGAGCTACAGGGGTCTGTGTTTCTTGACGAGGCGGAATATGAAAAGGCGACATCATGCTGGAAGCCAGAGCATGGGGGGTCTGTCGATGTCATGTTAACAGAGGAAACATGGCCGATTGCGTCCAACTTGTGGAACACCGACACCAAGTTTGCCGGTTGTCCAGTGACTGATCCCTTCTATTATTGTGATTTTGTGGGAATGTATACCTCGCAATTCCTGTACAATGTCTCTGAACGGATATGGCAGCGTACTTACTGGAGCGCACCGGATGGTGACAGCACATCATCAAGCTTGCACAGAATTCGCCGCTCCGATTTTGCCTATATTATGGAGAATGTCGCCGCTTCGATGACACGGTACGGTCAAAATATCAGCAATCAAATGGCCTATGGCACGGTGTATGAGACTCAGACATATGTCTCGGTGGATTGGGCCTTTCTGGCTCTCCCAGCTGTGCTGGTCTCCTTGGGAATTGTCTTCCTTGCGCTGGCGATCATGGTCAACAGCAGAGAGGCGTTGACTCTGTGGAAATCTTCTTTGTTTCCTGTGATATACCACGGGCTTGCGGAGATGGGTGTCGATGAGTTTGCTACTCTCAGCTCAATGGAACGGAAGGCACAGGAGATTACGGTGAAGCTCGAAGTTTTGGATACTGGAAAGAGAAGGTTGATGGTACAGAATGGATGACGGAGATTCACACAATCTCACTGGGGGGGCATCTGAGCTATTGGGTATACTAGACGTTGTTGTTATGGAAAGGCGATGCCATTGTGCTTTATAAACAAGAGGATGGACTTCTTCTGCATCGGCTCTGATGAATCTACTTGCCAGACCATGACTTTCTCTGAAGGTGCTGAGGAATGGTTACAACGATGTCTTCCAAGATCATGCATGCTCTTTTGAGAACATGAAGGGATATCGAGAGCAGCGGCTTAGTATATGAATATCCGACTGGGACTCCCGAATAGAACAGAGGCCCAGATAGGATAATAAAAATAATATCCCCGGTATATACCTAGTCTTGCTATATATTGATCTCATATAGTGTATGAAGCTCTCTGCTGACGTATGTACTTGTCTGCTCGCTGCTAGAAACTACGGGCATAAAACGGCTGTTTATACCTACCCAGCCTTCGGGGCCTCTTTCCTCACACCCTAGATGTCACTCTACATTCTACACGATACAGCCAAGGATAAACCAAATTAGACAGCGGGTGGCTGGCGGCGCCACCAATCTAGTCGAACTAATGTCGCGCTAAACGCCGTCCACATTGGCGGTGAGATAGTAGACATCCCTTATCTCTCCTCCATCAACAACCCCCCATCTCCAGCAATTGACCACGCATACCAAACAACCCCCCATCCAGACCATCATGTTCAAGAAATATGCCATCTCCCGCCGGGCATTAAAGCCCTACCTCGCCGAATTCTTCGGCACCGCGCTCCTAATCGTCATCGGCGACGGCGTGGTCGCGCAGGCCCTCCTCTCCGACTACCAATACGGCACCTGGCTGTCCATCAACATCGCCTGGGCCGCCGCCGTCGCGCTGTCCGGCTTCTTCAGCGATCCCAGCCCGACCATCAACCCAGCCGTGACGATCTGCATGGCGCTGGTGCGTCCGACGCCGGGCCAGTGGAAGAAACTCCCCGGCAAGCTGCTCGCCCAGTTCCTCGGCGGCTTTGTCGGCGCGGCGCTTGTGTACGCCAACTACCGCTCCGCCATTGCCGACTGGGACCCCGAGTTCACGATCCCGGGCGGCTCGATTCTGAGCCCGCGCGGCCATCATTCCGCGGGGATCTTCTCGACGTACCCGGCGGCGTTTTTTGGGTCGAATTGGGAGGCTGCGTTTAATGAGTGTCTCGCGGCTGCGGTGCTGATGTTTGGCGTGCTGAGTATCTCGGACCCCGTGAATGGGGTGCGCTTTGCGTCGCCGCAGGTGTCTATGTTCTTGCTTTTGGTGGCTATCGGGGCGGCGTTGGGGTGGCAGACGGGCTACGTAGGTGTTCCCTGGGGTACTAATTGTGAAGGCGACGCTGATTGTCACAGGCTATCAACCCGGCGAGAGACTTTGGTCCCAGGCTGTTTTCGGCGTTTGTCTATGGACGAGAGGTTTTCACTGCGGCTAACTATTATTTTGTCGTGCCCATCTTTGCCCCGGTGGTCGGGTGCATTGTCGGCGCTACGGTCTACGATTCTGTGCTCTACGAGGGAGACGACTCGCGGGTTACGTGTGCTGTGACCCGCATCGGCGACGACGGGGCCCTTCGCCTGGACTGAGTATCCCACTGTTGACTTGCTGATCAATGACCGGTGTTGTATGCATGGATGAGATGCCAGCTATGATAGATGATGTTATAGATGATGTGCATAGAATGGTATACTACCCCCTCTCCTTCCGCTCCAGCGCCTCCCGCACTCTAGGCAACACAAACCGCCCATAATCAATCGCATCATTGAGATTGTCATACCCACGGATGGAAATCAACTCCGCCCCGAGCTGCACATAATCCAAAATACTCTCCGCAATCGTCTGCGGCGAGCCGACCAGCGCCGTCGACGCGCCGCGCGCATTCGTCGCCGTCACCGTCGGGTACCACAGCGCGCGGTCGTGGACCTCGCCGCGCTTCGCAATCTCCAGCAGCCGCTGCGAGCCGACATTCTGCGGCGGCGGCGGTTGCTCCTTACCCGCGCCATTCACACCGGCGCGGTTCGCCGTCAGCGCGTCCAGGGTGCGGTGCGCCTTCGCCCAGGCCAGCTCGTCGGTTTCCGCCAGGATCGGCCGGAACGTCACCCAGATGCGGGGACGGTCGGCGGGGGCGCGTCCCGCACGCTCGGCGGCGGCATAGACACGGTCGATCTGCTCCTTCGTTTCGGCCAGCGGCTCGCCCCAGAGCCCGAAGATGTCGGCGAGGGCGCCGCCGACGGCGTAGGCCTCGTCGGAGGAGCCGCCGACAGAGACGGGGATGGTGCCGTGGACGGGGCGCACGCGGCTGCTGAACTGGACGAGGCGGTAGTGCGGGCCGTCCCAGTCGAAGGGGTCGGGGGAGGCCCAGGCGCGGCGCAGGATGCGGATGTACTCCTCCAGGCGGGCGTAGCGGGCGGCCTTGGGGACGAAGTCGCCCTCCTTGGCTTGCTCGGCGTCGCTGCCGCCGGCGATGAGGTGGACGACGACGCGGCCGCGGCTGAGCTGGTCGAGGGTGGCCAGGGCTTTGGCGGCGACGGTGGGCGGGAGGGTGTTGGGGCGCAGGGCGATGATGATCTTGAGGTGCTTGGTGGCGGCGGCGATGGTGGCGCCGATGGTGAAGGGGTCGAAGGAGGACGAGTCGTAGGGGACCAGGGTGTAGTTGAAGGCGTAGTCGTCGAGGGTGCGGGCGTAGCGGACGAGGAAGTCCGGATCCACGCCGGCGTTGGGGATCGGGGAGAGCTCGGTGGAGGGGTTGGGGAAAGTGAGGCTGATGAATTCGGTGGGCATGTTGAACGTTGTATATTGGGTCCTAGGAGTAGGATGAGGTACTAAACGTTGTACTAAATGGTGGTTGTATGCAAGACTTGATCGACATGTCCTTCGAGGCGTTTTATACTCGTCAGTCTGTACCCCGCGGATGGCACCAGACACTAATAGATCACGTCTTGCGTCCGGTGTAGGGAGTATACAAGTCGTCATTGCTGACGGCGATGGTGCAAGCACAAGTGGCCAGTGAGGTGGATCTATAGTTATCTGATCAGAACTTATAGATTCTTAGTCAAGGCTTATCAATGCTTGATTGTGGCATGAGGTGCTAGAGGAGAACATGGAATACTCTCGATTGTTGCATATATACACTCGCACAGGTGATGTACCCAAGCAAAGATAATAGTCAAGACGCTGCAGCCAACTCATGCATGTCTTGTATCGCCCAAGAAATCATCCAACCTTGATAAACCAAACTCGTAATCTATACGCCGTGATAATTAAACCCCTATGGGCCTGTGCAGGTGGGTCAAGGCGAACCCGTATCTATAGACAATAAAAAGGGTATGTATGTAAGTGCGGCCCGGGTCCGATGGTTTCAGGACCATCCAGGAACGGACGGCGTGGGCAACCCCCATGAAGACTCATGGCAGGGCAGCGTAGTGCCGATGGTTTGGCCGAGGAAAGGATAGGGAAAATGGATGCAGAACCGAAAACGCCAAGCCGGACAATGTGAAAGCCAGGAAGAGACAAGGAGCGCGTTCTATCCATCTATCCAGCTCTCCAGATTACTTCGAATATTTCGTCTCCCCGCTCGGGATCGCGGTGCACATACCACTGGTGCACGTTGTTTCCCTCGATCGCCGAGTCTTCCAGAAGATAGCTGATCTTGTCCCAGTCCTTGGGGCGCAAGGGACCCATCTCGTGGAGATACGACTCATGGACCGCGCCATTCTGGCCCTCCCAGGTGAGCTCCATGGTCGTGTCGTTCGGATCAACGGGGTTGCTGTATTTGATGATCGAAATTCCATTCGTCAGAATGTATCCGTCGGAGAATTGCCACTGGCGGAGGAGGCAGTCGTCGCCGCACAACTCGCTCACAACGCTGACCTTGGCCATGTCCATATGGAACCAGGACTTCCAGTGGTGCACCGAGAGGGGTGGCTGGCGTCCCGACTCGAAAAACCCCGACACATCGCCCATGATGTCGAGTTGATGCAGACGGTGGTTGATCGTGAGGCGGGTGGGCGTGTGCTGGTAGACGCAGAGAGAAATCCTCCGATCGCCCGTAAAATCCATGTTCTGGCAAGCCTCGAAAATTTCCGGCTGGCTGATTTGCTCCAGAAGGGGCCGGGAAAGGAAGACGCCTGCGCCTCCGAATCCCATCAGCCCAAACGCGCCAATCTGTGGAATGCTTTCCGACAGTCCACCAATGTACATCGGCTGAGTATCATCATAAGCGGCAAGGGCCCGCACCAGTTCCGACATGGAAAGGAAGAAAGTGTCATCGTCAATCACGCAGGACCAGCGCGTCTGCGGCCGCATGTTCTGCGCGAGATGCGAGATCAACGAAAAGTAGCGACGCTGGTACTCTTCCGTTGACTCGGTCACATGGAGATTAATCCCCAGCGAGTCGGCCTTGGCCTGGACTTCGGGGAGGCGGTGGTCTGGCTCAATGAGAGCGAAGATGCGGGTGCGAGTGTAGCCCGCCCAGTGCGAAAACGCATCCAACGAGTCATTCAACCGGCCCAGCGTGGTGGCAACCCCGAAATCGATATGAGAGGCGTCGACATTCTTCGAAGGCTTGGGCACCTGAACGGCCACGGCGTGGGGAATCAGACAATCATCCTGCGAGTGGCCGGTGGCAAGATAGCCCTGGCGACGCGACGAGGGCTTTTGCTCGAATAGGGGGATGTTCAGCTGCTGTCTCATTGGAAGGGCATCGTTCGAGGAGGGAACGGCAATCATCTCCCGACGAGTGTGTTTGTTCAGTTTGCGGATATCGAGGCGACGGAGGAGGTCGAAATCGGGTTCGCATTCCACGTCCGATGTGATGGTTATGTTGGAGATCGTTTCGGTAGTGACATGGTGGTATTCAAGACGAGGCCACAGGAAGACCGTGAACCCGCTCACCAGGATAATGGCGATCAGAAAGCGCAGGAGCTTTTTCCTCCATACCCAGGAAGAGCTCATCTTCCGGGGTTTCTCCCCAAGCTTGGCGTACATGGAGCTCGGAGGGAGTCCTTCCTTTTGTCTAGATATTATCGATAGATGATGTAAGTGAGCCTGCCTAGATACCACACTACGAGAGCATGGGCATCTCGATCATCCGGCAGGGAACAGGGGGGAGGAGTGAGGAGGGAGGGAAGAGGGCGAAACGGTAGTACGGAGTAGTGCGGAAGCGAGGTCGGAAGCGAACGATCGGAAGAAAAGAGAAAGGAAAACGAAAGAGGAAAGAAATTAAACGAGAGCAGATCGTTAACGGATCCAGATGGAGAGGCAAGTACAGGATGGAGATGAAGGCAAAAGAGAGGAGCGTAGTAGGGCCAGCGGCAATACCAGCATCTTAAGGGGGAGAGATCCCCGAGTCAGCCAGCCAAATGGGCGGCAAGAGGCGAACGGCAGAGCAGAGCGACAGTCGATCAACGGGGCGCCGAACCACGGATGGGAGGGAAAAGCACGTCTCTTTTTTTTTTCGGTGGTTCAGAAGGGGGTGCAATCATGGCCAGGCGGAGACGGGTCAACCACGGATGGGCTGGGATGGGCTGCTGGGTGGCTCTGGGCCCTGATGGAGTGGACATGCCACCCCCTCGTCATCAAATAAAAAAAGATCAAAAATCCAGCTTGTTGTCGTCAGTGCTAACAGTCCGCCCAAGGGAGGTAGGTGATCGGCCGTGGATCCCGAAATAGGAGATTTTTAGTGGCATGGAAAGGGTCCTCATCGGGTGGTGGTGGTGTGGAAAGGTCGGCCACCATTGAACTTCCAGTAGAAGATTTCTCTCCTCTTGATAGGAATCGCATTGTTCGAACGATCAGCTGTCGTTCAGCGTTCGTTGGAGAGTTGAACAGCCCCTGTCTCCTGTCCTAACTCCCCCTGTCGACCGACGGATTCGGACCATGGGTGTCGCATGTCAACGGGCCGTCCAAGACACAGCAGGAATTAAAGGGGTCCCGGCCCTGACCCCGGAAGCCACCGATGATGCAAGACGCGCGGACAGGCATTCCTGGGAGGCCGATCGGTCGGTGGGATGGGCGGCGGGGACCACGGGATGATGACGACGGCTGCTTGGCGCTGAGGATTAATTCAACCGGATCCCATCTCGTGGTCGCGTGTCATGCATGCATGTCTTGGGTGTGGTAGAGCCTTCATGCGTCTGAGTGATGGATCAGTTGGCAGAAAGGATGGACAGAGTAGGAGGGAATTGAAGAGTGGAATGTTGGTGTGGTTGTTTTGTGTTGGAGGGAATTTGGAGGAGTCTCCCAGTGATTGGCCAAGGTTATGCTGGGTGGGTTTCTGACTAATCTGCATCCACATTCATAATTTCACCAGGGATCACCATCCCTCTTCATCTCTATCATAGTACTACGGAGTATATACCTATTCTATCAGGTATGTAATTAAATCCTATGGATAAGATCTTATTCTGTCTGTATGGATGGATCCTATTTCCGTCCTGATAACTCCCGTCCTGCCCTCCTATTTCTCCCCTCCTCCCCTCTCGTTCCCCGCACGGCATGCAGCCATACGTATCGCCTCTTGCCAAGTCATCCTCCTCGTAGGGCTGGCAAGCTACCCTCGCTAGCTTCGGCTCTCGGCCTGTCTCTGAGTAGACTACTAAAAATAATGATAACATGACTATGTCATCGCGAGAAAAAGGCCAAGGAATGCACCGCAACCCGTCGTGGGATGTCACTCTCCACGATGCAACCCCATCAGGGTCTGATCCCTTTAGCCGATTATCGGAACTACCTCTCTCCCCTCCCTTCTCTGCCCTCTTACTATCCTAATGACCTTGGGACTCCTGTAAGGAGTTTGAACTTCTCCATCAGAATACTACCTAGTAGTGATCGCTGGCATACTCCGTATCACTGTCACATTCCAGCATCGCATTGAATCACATGACCATTCCGACATGGGGAGGTTTCAAGATATATAGTTACCTCACTGGCGAACAGAGAATAACGGGAAGGAGTCCAATGTGCAGTCGGGGTCTGCGACACAGCCCACGATAATAAAACCCGTCTTACCCAGCATCTCTGATCTCGCTGCGAGAGTATTCCCGACCATACACATCACTCATATTTTGTGCGAGCCTTATGGGGTTTCGGGGTAGTCCTGCGGAATGTATGCAACTTGGCGGGAACCCATATATTGCCTAGAAAGCCATAGCGACCATACAACGCTGTCCAGTATCGAAGGCCAATCTGGCCCATAAAGTACCTACCTACGATAGCATCTGTCATTGAGGCCCTGAACTGTATTGTACATATCCGACAGCCTACATACAAGGCGCACCCTGGCGGCAATGACTAAGCATTGATGACTAAGGTTGTAAGCTAGGGCTGCCCAAACACCCACGTGCGCAATCTTCCCAATGGGGAAATATCGCAGTTCCGCACAGATGGTCACTTCGGGGAGCTCCCGTTCATCACAGGCACGCCACTACTTTCTTTCTGATCCGAGACCGTCCCGTGGAATTGGAATGAGGATCACTTACCAGCTTCTTCCCTAAACATATCCCACTCCCCATCCTCTGTGAAACACGGAGACTCGTCCCGTGGGCCCTCGACAAACACTCGCCGATGCCGTCCCAATCGCTGGCCTCGCTGCTCCAGCGAGCGTCCATTGATGATCACGAGGAGGTCTTGCAGTCATCGAACGAAACCCTCGCGAAGTCCAAGTCCGATATCCACGCCCAGCATGTCAAAGTAGTCGCCCTGTTGAAACTCGACCGCTATGAAGACTGTCTGCGCGTGTTTGAAGAGGCCGGAGACAAATTGAAGAGCAGGGCGGCTGTGGAATACGCTTATGCCCTCTACAAATGTAGTCGGCTGGAGGAGGCGATTGATGTGGTGTCGCAGGTAGCCAACGATCGCGGCGCGCGTCATCTCGAGGCTCAGGTGGTAAGTTCGCTATTCGTCTCCTCTCGCAGGAGGATCCATCCTAAGTTGATTCCTGTCTTCAGACGTATCGTGCCGAAAAGTTTCGTCGCACTGCGGAACTATACGAGGCCCTGGCCGATGACAAGTCGGCCATTGCAGTCGAAGAGAACGACCTCCGGATCAACGCCTGGGCCGCCGACGCACAGTTACAGTGGAAGGGTTATCCGGAATTGGTCCGGCATCATCGCCCCACGAGAGACGACTTGGAGGCATTTGAAACTGTCTACAATGCTGCTTGCCTGAGTATTGCAAAGGGAGAATTCGCCCAGGGCGAGATGCTGCTGAAGCGCGCGAAAGGTTCGTACACCTCAGGTCCTTGACTATGGCGCTGATTCGCTAACTGCTTCAAGAGCTGTGTCGGACGTCCGAAGACCTTACACCAGAAGACAGGGCGGCTGAGCTCCTTCCGATTGCCGTGCAGCAGCTTTATGTGCTACTCCGCCAGGGCAAGTCAGAAGAGGCTGAATCGATTCTCGCAGAAATCTCCGTCAATGAGTACGCACATCCCTCCCTCGTCGCAGACCAAAACTGACCATACGAAGCATTCCCGAGCTCTCCACCAGAAAAATTGCCCAGAGCAATATCACTCTCCTCCGGAACACCTCGTCAAACCCTTACCTGCTCTATAAGGAGCTGAATGCGACTCCCGACTCGACTAACAACGACCGGCTCTTCGACTTCCAGAACAATGTCATGTCGGGCAATATCCACTCGGCCGACCTCCTTGTTCAAAAGTACGATGGTATCATCCGCTCCACGTCTAAAGCTCTTTCGCAAGCATCCTGTCCCTCCACCGAGCCCAGCGTCAACCTCATGTCCGTCTACAATGCGGCTGCTCATGCCCAGGGACAGACGGGCGCTAAGGCTTTGAAGGCCATCCTCCCCGTGCTCGAAAGACGGCCGAAGGATATTGGGTTGGTTCTCACCGCAGTCCAACTGTACGTCAGCACAGGGAACACCACGTCCGCAATCACGACACTGGAACGATCCCTTCATCTCCTGGAAGAGTCCATTTCCGAGCAGGACAAGGAAGTTCGGTTTAACCCGGGCATTCTCAGCATCCTGGTGTCTTTGTATAAGCTGGAAGGCCGCAAGCTCCAGATCCGCGGCGAACTTTCCAAGGCGGCGGCTTACTGGCGTGAGCGGGCTGAGGCACCTGCCTCTCTCCTCCGCGCAGCGGCCGCATCCCTACTACACTCTTCCGATCGGGAAGATTTGATTACGTCTGGGGATCTGTTCAAGTCCCTCTACCAGAAAGACTCGTCCGACCGTTTCGCGATCGCCGGCTACGTCGCGTCCCAAGCGCCCCTGGACTATTCCAAGGTCGAAGCCCACGTGGACTCGCTTCCATCAATCGATGACTTGGTCGGTGACATCGATGTAGCTGCGCTGGAATCTGCTGGGATCGCCCCTTCATCATCTGCGACCGCTGCGGCTGCGGCCGCCATTGCAGGTGCGCGCAAGAGAAGTTCCAACCAGAAGGACGGACACGCAGCCAAGCGTGTACGCAAGTCCCGTCTTCCGAAAGACTACGACCCCAACAAGAAGCCGGACCCCGAGCGCTGGCTGCCTCTGCGCGACCGCTCCACCTACCGCCCCAAGGGACGCAAGGGTAAGCAACGTGCTGCGGATCGCACGCAGGGTGGTATCGTCAACGAGAAGGCCGAAGAGTCCACGTCGGCTGCGCCGCAACAGCAGAAGCAGGGTGGAGGGGCTAGTTCCAAGAAGAAGAAGAAGGGCAAGCGGTAGAGGTTGGTTATGAGTGTAGATTGCATTGGGATGGCCGTGATGATGATGCTGTTGATGACGATGACATCTGGACATATATTCACACCAATATATTTACTGATCTTTCGAGAGTAATCTTAGACGACGTACTAGCAGGCTCTTGACCAACCATTGCCACGAGATACTAATCCCCAGCACCTAGGCACTTATTTAGGTAACAACCCCTCAGCTTACCAGCGATGATTTGCGCAGGCGACGTGGAGACGCGGGGGCGGCAGGTGGGCCAGTGCGGAGTGCGGAGGAGGCCGAATGCCCAGACTACCTAGAGCGTTGTCTGTTTTCTGTCCTCATCTTCATCTTCACTCATCCTTCATCCAGACAATGCTCTGAGGGAGCTCTGGCAAGCATCATGTCTGCCCATGCGAACATCACGGTCGACATTCATGACCACATCGGCGTCATCAAAGTAAGTCGAAAGTCATCTGTAGTATACCTATACTGATCCCTTGAAGTTCAACAGACCAGACCCCGGGACGTCATGGACAGACTCTCTTCTCACAGACCTCCTCACGGCGTTTCGCAAGCTCGACGAACATCCGCGAACTGTGTCGACCGTCGTGGCTAGTGAAGGCCCATTCCGTTCCATAGTGGATGTTACCACAGGTACCATGCTACGCTCCCCGACAAGGTGTCATCACGACAGGGGGACTGACATCTGGTACAGATATAATTGAAAAGATTGACACCGACACAAACACTCCGACAGTCAAGGTGATCTACATGCGTAAATTTGCCAAAGGTAGTGGTTCACTCAAATAATATCAGCCTACACTAACGATTATGACGCTACCTAGAGCTTTTACATTCGATAATCAACCACAAAAAGAACCTCGCCCTTGCCTTGGACGGTCCCCTGATATGGGGCGGCCCAGTCTGGGTCGAGGGCGTGCTTGACATCCTCGCAGCGGCGACTACCGCCTACCTTGGGATTCCCGATTTCGACTCGTCTAGTCCATTGGAGAGCTTAAAAGAGAACATTGCGCGACTGTCTGCAGAACAGGGGGATCAGGCAGGTCCTGATGTGTCCGGCGGTCCGGGACGGAAGGGATTAGCTGTGGGAGAGAGGTTGTCTGCCGCGCTTGATGCTATGCACGGGTCTGCGGAACCGTTGCTGGATCGAAGGGTATTAGAGGGCCTTATCAGGACGATCCGACGGAATGGGATGGTAAAATCGACATTATGATGGCTTGCTGTATACGTTCATATACCCTTCTACCTGGTAGCCCAAAGTAGCTTTCATTACTTCCTTCGGACTTTTTCGAGAAGAACCCCAGTATATCGTATGATATTCACCTTGGTATGCGATTATATAGGTATAGTTCTAATGACACACGGTACCTATATCACGGAGGCATTGTTGTCCGATCAGCAAGAAGCACTGGCGTCTTGATGCAGACCAAGCCTTGAGACCCTATTTTCGAATAGGGCAAGACAAGTCAAGACGATCTCCACTTCTCAATATTGAACATCCACTCTAGGGCTATTCATTGGCTTCGCAGGCAGGGTCGGATAGAAAGGATCCATCCCTCAACTGAATTCCGGTATGGTACATTTTCGTCGAACCACATCATGGCGGCTCTCTCGAATAAGGCGGCGGTGCCTCGTCATCCTCACTAGGTGCCTGGTGCTGTTGCGGTTGTTGTGGCTGTTGTTGCTGCAGCTGACCTTCTCCCTGCCTGGCTTGTCTATCCACGCTCCCATTCTGGACAGTGGTCGAAGCCCCCGTCGGATTCCCAGATGGCTTCCGGCGCGCAAAACACAGCCAAAGCCCGCCCATGATCGAGAACCCTACTATGGCAGGGAACAGGACTATCACCGCGGTTGGGACGTGAGGACCGGTGTCTTGTTTGGGAGCTGGTGGATCGAATAGATCTGGGAACGAGTCTTTCGGATCATTGATGGCGAGAGGTGTTGTGGAGGGGGTTGGTGTATGATGCGCGCTAGGCGATGGACTTGGACTACCTCTAGAGCTGAGGAGTAATGTAGAGGTAGAAGCTGTCTGGAATGGCCGGGCGAAGGTGTCTGCAGAGAATTAGCGCTTAATGCTCATGTTTCTGTCACGGAAAGTTGATATACTAACTTGGGGGAAGTGTCCAGATCAACAGGCCCAGCGCGAGTAAGGTCTGAAGCACAATCATCTTACAAGATACATTAATTATAGACCGATTGTAAGATGTGCGCTAAATAACTATAGACAAGAACCCTTTTTGGAAAGGATTAACGGGCTATATAAGAAGGGCAGTACAGCCCGGACGAAGGATTGACTCCTTGATTTCAAGATGCGCCCCATCGGGCACGATGAACGGGGCAGGGCACCACTAGTGTCTTTGCGCAGCATGCTCGTTGTGGCGGATGAGCCGGAGGACGACGCTATTAGAAGCCTTTCTTGGCTCTGTCTTGGTATTTTCATCACGGTGCATCTGCGCATCCATCGAGTGCGGCTGTTCAGTTTCTCTGGACAATTGCCGTATTAGTGTGGATATGATGATTCACTCACCATTCACTATGAGTCGCATAAACCGATGTATTCCACGTCCTGAACTGATCCTGCGCAGTGTCCAGGTCCTAATAGGACCCTACATAAGCCATCAAGGTACAAACTGACTTAATCAGAGGATCGCCTACGTCAATTATGAAGACTGTATTATTGATCCACAACGCCTCCTTGACACAATGTATCTAGGGTGTCATGTCACCACAGCCGTGGGTACCTAGTTGTGGAGGCTGCGATGATCAACCAAGCGACAGATTGGAAATCTATCGCACTGGCACCTAGAGCAAAAAGCAGCATGAAGGAAGGACGGAAGAAGACGATGAGCGTGTTCACCTAGTGCGCTTCTTATACAAACACGGTGGAGGCCAACCTGAGCACATTTGAGTTGGTTTCTCGATAGCGATGAGTAGCTCCCGTCCACACCATCTCGCAGATGTCTGTTGCCTACTCATATTGAAAGACTCTTGGTAATGAAAAACATCATCAAAGATGTGGCTACTGGGCTCTTGTTGTTGTTCCAAGACTTCTATGCTGGTTGATGATTACTCTCATGAGCTATCATCTACTAGGGATCTACCTTTTCAATATAGACATGTGTGGAGTATATAAGTCACCATTATTATAAGTCTTAGCTAATATCTACTCTTTCTAACACCTAAGAGCTGGATTCCCAAGTATGCGGGCTATACCCACTCGAAGCCATTGTCTCTAGTGCATCTGCAATAGATTGATCGTCGCTGCAATGAACAAGGCCAAAACCAATCATGCAGGCTGTTCAGGCGGCCCAGGACCCATGGTTCGCATTGATCACTTTCGAGTCTTCAGCTGAGCACATCAGTCTACTATACTCAAGACAAGACTGGGCCATAGACTCTGCAAGCGTGTGCCGATCGCTCCACGATTGCTACACCTTGCTCAGCTCGAAGTATCAACATGAATCTGTTCCCCACCTTTCCCGCGATTCCTGTCATGCCCCAATGGAGCTGGGTGGACTGGAGGTCTATAAAGGGCCCCTTCCTTCAAGACTGGAGCACGATGTCTTTCTGGGTAGGCATCTGCCATCTACCTCTGTCCACAACTCTGTCACCATGAGAGTCACCCGCTTTTTCTACATCCTGTGTGCAGTGGCCCTCGCCGCGGCCGAGTCCATTCCCGAGACAGAATACGATGTAATTGTCGTCGGCGGTGGTCCATCAGGCCTCAGTGCCTTGAGTGGTGTCTCCCGCGTTCGACGCACAGCGCTGCTCTTCGACGACCAGCAATACCGCAATGCGCCCACCCGGAACATGCACGACGTTATTGGCAATGACGGTAAGCAGAATTCAATAGGTCGTATCTTTCCCCGCTGACGGGTGTAGGCACACCCCCGGCCGCATTCCGTGCTTTGGCTCGAGAGCAGATCTCCAAGTATCCGACGGCCCATTTCAGTAACGCAACTGTCACTTCGATCACGCCGGTTGGGCACGGCAATTTTTCGGCCTTCTCCGTCGCTGACAGCGACGGTAATACGCACACTGCTCGCAAGGTCGTGCTCGGCACCGGCATGAAAGATATCCTCCCGGACACCCCGGGCCTGCAAGAAGCCTGGGGCAAGGGCATCTTCTGGTGCCCGTGGTGCGACGGCTACGAACATCGGGACCAGCCCTTTGGAATCCTTGGCCCCATCTCAGATGTCCTGGGCAGTGTGTTGGAGGTCAACACCCAGTACACCGACATCATTGCCTTTGTCAACGGCACGCTCACCCCCGAGGGCAAGGCCGCCGCGACGAAGAAGCACAAGGACTGGGAGGAGCAGTTGCAGGCATGGAACATCAAGCTCGACAACCGCACTGTCACGCGCATCGAGCGTCTCCAGGACGGCGAGACGCACCAGAACAAGACGGCCGACTTGCAGTTTGACAAGTTCCTCATCCACTTCACTGAGGGCGACCCCGTCGAGCGCAACGCTTTCATCACGAACTTCCCTGCCGTTCAGCGCTCGACCCTCCCAGAGCAGATGCATTTGAACGTGACCGACGACAAGATTGTTGTCAACTTCAACGGCATGCGCACGAACATGACTGGCGTGTTCGCGGTAGGCGATGCCAACTCCGACGGCAGCACTAACGTGCCTCATGCCATGTTCAGCGGCAAGCGTGCCGCTGTCTACCTCCACGTGGAGATGTCCAATGAGGAGTCTACCTCCAAGGTTGCGAGGCGGGACGGAGTCTTGACCCGCCGCAGACTGGAGAAAGAGGCTGTTCGCGCGATCGGTGCGAACCTCGAGCCTCAGTGGGAGCAGGCGAAGAGGAAATCAGTCTGAATAGTATAAGACTTGATAACATAATTCGAGGTCTGATTATGTGTAGCCAGATCGATCTCAAGTAGGCAAATAATCGACGCTCAGTGAATGTAAATAATGAGATTGTAGGTAGCTCGTACCAATTGGTAATACCAACTACAATCAAATCCAACACAAAATCATTCCTAAATCCCCTCAACCGAAGCACTGATAGTCTACATCCATGACAAATTTGATACTGGCACTCCCGAATCGGAATACCTGCAGTGTACTCTACTTGCGTGTCGAACAAGAGACGACTATATGCCATGCATCGGTGCCCTCTTCCCCACCAAATAGACCTTTCCGGGAGAAGTTGACGCTATTACGAGATCTAGTGCACCTGGATGCAAGCTCATGCAAGCTCCCACTTGGGTCACTGCCGATCGGTGATTTTCTGCCCGCAGGCATCGAAGGAAAGGATGCGATCAGCATGGTTCGCATGCCAACTCATCAACAGTTCGTCGCACTGTCCACCTTCGACAGCATCGAGCAGCGCTTCGGGAATTCCCAGCTGCTGAAGGACGAGGATTGCAAGCCTGGCCTCCCCATCAACCTTTCTGATGCGCTCTACGTCAAGAACAACCACGGCCAGTAGCTCGACGAGCAGGTCAACGGCAGCCATATCTCTGTCACCCCGACTTTGAAAAGGCCGGTAAATTTTCCATCAGCAAGTGGCCCTGCGGGAAGTATTGCCTTGATGGATTCGAGCATGGTCTTGGGCCCGCTTGTCCGTCCAACACCCCGGCTATCACGTTCTACTCCGGGGATCCGCAGATGTGTGTGCCACACGAGCTCACCGAGGGGCCCTGTCAGATTAAGGACAACAAGAATAACTGTATCTGGACCAACGGTGCGGACCAGTGCTGTGACAAGATGCACTGCCCTGCTTAAGGGGCTGGACATGGATGGATGGATTCAGCTAAGTGCATATGGTGGGTAAAGCTCTGGAGTCAGAGCAGGTCAAGGGCACTTTAAGCAGCAGCCCATAGGTTTTAGCTTACAATAGTTAATGTTGACTGGTATTATATAATGGGAAGAACTTTTAACTAGTTATCAGTCTGGTCTAAGTTCACGGGTTGACAGGCTGTAAACCCGAGTGACGGTGCTATATCGATATCATTCGCAGAACTAAGCATATGGACAGCATCCAGAGAGAATTCTCGGAACGTTGCATTATACTCCATAACATATACGAGACTAGCCTTCCAAATGTGATTTTTACATATCATAAGTGGAGGTGGAAAGCAAGACACTTGAACACGTCGGTTAAAGACCGGTTAATCATCATACTCTCAGAGCTGGAGAATTGTTCGATCAATTCAACCCTCACCCTATTTGGTATTAACTAGCCGTCATTCCTTTACGCCCTTTCAGTAGTATCATACATCCACGAGGGGTGAGTGTATGACTATCTAGTCAAGAGCCACCAAACACCTACCCGACGCAGCAGTTCAACCAGACCCCTCAACCACCGGAATGGCCGGGATATACACCATTCTGGAGACATTCCGACACTCGGCCCTGTTTATTGCCAAGGAATCCCGACGATCAGTATACTCTTGTGGTCTCTCATTGCGGGGAAACGCGATGTTCTGCCTTGGCAAGATGCGACAAGACGCTCCGTCGATATACTTCGGAAAATATCCGGGATAATGCCCTCCGACACATATGAACGGGCTCTTGTAGTGCCCACTCCCATAGGACCAGATGCCTGGCAATGCTGCTTGGCGGAATCCGCAATAGCATGAGCTGCTTTACCCTCTCTTGGCAGGCTGAAGCACTCGGCATCGGTCATGCAACGTCTCGGTTAAAAGAGGCAGGAGAGATATATAAGAGCATGAGGGGCGTCGGATATATCAGCGTAGCAAGTAACTAGCCCTCATCAAGCTGCAACAGCACGATGGCATCACTCGGAGCCATGGCATGGCCCAGTGCCCTCCCTGCCTGGTCCAATCTCAATGTGATTCATAATAACACCTTGCCGCCGCGGGCACACTTCTACCTGTATTCCAACGAGGACACTGCCCTCACATTCGACCGCGAGCAGAGCCTTTTCCACAGCCTCAACGGAACCTGGAAGTTCCACTACGATGCCTCGCCCTTCGTGGCCCCGGCCTGGGACGCCGACGTCCAGGACTGGGATGACATTATCGTCCCGGGCGTCTGGCAGCTGCAAGGATACGGCCGCCCTCACTACACCAACATCGACTACCCCTTTCCCGTCACTCCGCCGAACATCTCGTACGTGAACCCCACGGGCTCGTACTGGCGGGAGTTTGAGGTCCCCGCCGACTGGGACGGACAGCAGATCCGTCTGCGCTATGAGGGTGTGGACAGCGCGTTTCATGTATGGGTCAATGGCGAGGAGGTCGGCTACAGCCAGGGTAGCCGGAACCCCAGCGAGTTCGATATATCCGATTACCTTGTGTCTGGAGAGAAGAATACGCTGGCGACTCGTGTCTACCAGTGGTCTGATGGCTCCTACATTGAGGACCAGGATCAGTGGTGGCTTTCGGGTATATTCAGGGACGTTTACCTTGTTCCGTTTCCTCGGTCTGCGATCACGGATTTTGATGTCGTGCCCGATGTGGCGGACGACTTCAAGAGCGGCACGCTCAAGGTCAATGTCACGGTCCAGGGAGAGGGTGGTGACATGAAAATCAAGCTTCTATCCCCCAAGGGTGACCTGCTCGACACATGGTCTGGGCCTGCAACCAAGGTATACTCTCAGAAGGTCCAAGGCGACGACTTCCAGCTCTGGTCCGCCGAGACGCCAAACCTGTACACCGTCCTGATTGAATTCAACGGCCGCACCATCAGCCAGAAGGTCGGCTTCCGCCGCATCGAAATGAGCGGCTCCAACTTCCTCGTCAACGGGAAACCGATCACCCTCTACGGCGTCAACCGCCACGAACACAACCACCTCTCCGGCCGGACAGTCCCCTACGAGGCGATGCAGGCGGACCTGATGCGGATGAAGCGCTCCAATATCAACGCCATCCGCGCTGCGCATCAGCCCCATCATCCATCATTCTATGATGTCGCCGATGAGCTGGGATTCTACGTCATTGCTGAGGCGGATCTCGAGTGCCATGGGTTTATTAATATCGAGGACACCGAGGAGCAGGCTGCGTCGTGGACGTCGGACAACCCCGAGTGGACCGAGGCGTATCTGGACCGCGCGAAGCAGCTGGTCGAACGGTATAAGAATCATGCGTCGATCATCATCTGGTCACTCGGGAATGAATGCTTCTATGGGCAGAACCAGGCGGCCATGTCCAAGTGGATCAAAGAAAGGGATCCCTCGCGTATCGTTCACTACGAACAGGACCGGAAGGCTGAGAGCGCGGACATCTACAGTCAGATGTATTCTTCGCCGGATGACATGCGGGAGCACATGCGGAACCATACGGACAAGCCGTTGATTTTGTGCGAGTTCGCACAGTGAGTTACCACACGTTCTTCCTTAAGATACATGCTGACAATAAGGAAGCGCAATGGGCAACGGACCCGGCGGACTCAAGGAGTACATCGAATTGTTTCGGTCCGAACCACTCTCCCAGGGCGGACTCGTCTGGGAATGGAGCAACCACGGCCTGCTCAAGAAGGAAGGCGACCTCGAATACTACGCGTACGGTGGCGACTTTGGCGACGAGCCGAACGACGCGGATTTCGTGATGGACGGTCTGACCCTCTCAGACCACAGCCCTACCCCCGGTCTACTGGAGTACGCCAAGGTAATCCAGCCCATCTCCGTCCGCCTGGCCGAAGACTCGACCAAGATGATCGTCGCCAACCACTACGATTTCGTCGACCTCGGCGGGCTCGATGCGTCCTGGCACATTGTGCAGGATGGCGAGACCACGGAGCCGAAGAACCTGACGCTGCCTCACGTTCCTGCCGGTGAAAACCGGACGGTGGATTTGCCAGTGGACAAGAGCGAGCTCTCGCACGAGGTGTGGCTCACAGTCGAGTTCCGGCTCAGGGAAGATAAGCCGTGGGCGGACAAGGGCCACGTCGTCGCCTGGGACCAGATGCATCTCCCCGGTCGTTCTTCTGCGAAGCGCTCCGCGGATATCATGAACCACAGACAGGCAGGGCTTGACGTACAGCAGAACGGAGCCAACCTCACCGTCCGCGGCGGTGAATCAACCTTTGGCTTCGACCTGCTGCAGGGGAACGTCACCTGGGAAGCCAACGGCGTCAACCTCTTCCAGCGCGGACCAGAGCTATACTTCTACCGCGCCATGACGCAGAACGACGAGGCCAGCGCCGGGAACATGGCCGAGTGGGAGGAGACGCGGGTCGGCATGATGGAAACGCAGGTGCGCGACGTCACCTGGGACACGAGCGATGGCGACCTCGTCGTCCACTACAGGGTCCGCGTTGCGCCCAAGGTGCTCGAGTGGGGCGTCGAGGCCGACCTCGTCTACACCGTTTCCGCGCAGGACTCTGCGCTCCGTGTCCGGGCGCGCGGGGAGTTCGTCGGCAAGAATACGCCGTCTGTGGTGCCGCGGATCGGGCTGATGGCCGTGCTGCCGGAGGCGTTCGACTCGGTGCGCTGGTTTGGGCGTGGACCGGGCGAGAACTACAAGGACTCGAAGCAGGCGTGTCGCGTGGGGACATACGACGCGACGGTCGAGGAGCTCTTCACGCACTATGATTATCCGCAGGAGAATGGCAACAGGGAGGATTTGCGGTGGTTGCAGGTGTCTAATGGGGCTACGACGCTGGATGTGCGCCGGGGAGAAGACGACGTGGCGTTTAGTTTCACGGCGGGACGGTACATGCCGTTCGATCTGAATGATGCGAAGCATCCGTATGAACTTAAGCCGCTGGATATGACGGTGCTCCATTTGGACTATGATAACCACGGGTTGGGGTCGGCGACGGTTGGACCGTTGCCGTTTGAGCAGTACCGGTGCAAGACTGAGCCGTTTGATTTTACGTTTGAGCTGAGTCTTGCCTAGGGAGTGCATGGTGTGACTGCGTATGTGATATATCAGTGCTTTGGCAGCAATCTATGTACATGGTGCGATATTGTTTGACAAACGAATAGCCTGACCCGTTTCATGCTTAACACTCATCACAAGTTTGTCAGTACCTTCTCTCCCAGCGTCCAGATCTATAATCATTCGACATTACTTTAAAGCCATACCTCATGCAAACACATTACAACATGCAACAAAAGAACTCCCCTAAAACAGCACCGCCGCAGCCCCAAGCGCAGCAGCCGCACCCAATGGCGCCGCAGTAATAAGCGGCCTATGAGCGCCCGCCGCGCCCTCCGAAGTCCCCGTAGCCTGGGGCGCATTGAGCCGACTCAGCCCCTCCGTAACCGTGACAGGACTATAGAAAATCTCGTCCGTCTCAAAGCTCTGCGTGCTCGTGATGGCCGTCGAGATGTGGCCTGATTTGACGTCCGCAGTGACGGTGCACACGGCCGACTCGCTGGTGCGCGTAAACGAGCAGGCGACGTCCTGGCCGACGGACACGGTCACGCCGTAGACTTCGACGGGCATGGTGCGCGCGTAGCTGAGCGTGGTCGGGCCGGCGATGACCTCGTAGGGCGTGTCGATGCTGCAGACCGACTTGGGGGCGCCGCTCATGCAGCCGATTTTGTAGGTGGTTGCGTGCGCGTCCGCGCCGACAATGCTGCCGCCCAGGCTGGTGTAGGTCGAGTAGCTGAGGTAGGGGTTGTCGGCGACGGCTTCGAAGATGCTGACCACACTGGTGGTTTGTGCTGCGGCCATGACCGCGAGGGCTGGGATCAAGAGGGATGAGAGCTGCATGGGGTCTTGATTGACTGGGTTAAATGGTATGTGCTTGATAAAGGGCTTGCAGGGATGGGAAAGGTTCAGTTGAGTGCGAAAGAAGATAGAAAAAATGCCGGTATCAAGGAAAGAGCCCCTTTAAAAGCCTCACAAGCCCTGGGGCTCGAGCAGTCTTGTCTCCATGTCTTTAGCCGCAATACCGCCTTGTTCCACCCAGTTAGCCCAAGGCGAACTAAACCATAGCCCATACTACCTGACTAGTTGGTGGTGAGACCCTGCCCATGGAATGAATGACACACAGCCGGTTGATTGGCCTATGTGAGTCAGTGGAACACATCCCACAGAGTCATTTCCTGGGCAAAGTCTCTAGTATCGCTTGAAAGGGCCCAGGATGGCGGTGACTCAGTAATGGACGAAGCGAAGGATCTTTGGTGTACTAAAACCCTGTATCTAATATTTTGGGGGCTTGGCTAGCGTCCGGGGGCGTTGGTAGGTAGCATCTCGCTAGCCATTGCCAGTGAAAATCGGGTATCTCCACGATGCCCCGAACTTGGCCGGATTCGTCGGCAAATATGTTCATAGTGTTGAGATCTTGGTGGGAGAACAGCCCCGGCACGTCCTGGAGACGACTGGCGGCCGTGATCAGCTTCTCCACGAGAGGGAAGTAAGCGGTCACGTCCACCCCAGAGCAAGACCGTATCGTCAGGATCTTCTTCAGTCCGGGGGTGATGTATGTATCAATCGCTGCGACCTCATTCGGCACAAAACAACGAGAAAGTAACTGGCCGAGCGACATGGCACACCGGCGGAACTCGTCCTCTGCCCAGCAATCTTCGATTTCCATCCATGGTTTGCGCGGCATCTTCGCCATGAAGACGCAAAAGACATTCTCAGCCGGTAATTCCTCGGACTGGATCAATTCGATGGATGGGACCATCTCACCAAGATGCTCTTTGGCCGTTCTGTACGCCGTCGTGTCGAATGCCTCGGTCCTAAACTGTATGATCACCGGGAGATCGCCCTCCATGACGACCTCCAAAGTAACACTGGCCGCTCCCTGGAGTGAAAATAGTTTAGAAGAGAGTATCTTTTTGTTGTAATGGCGCGCAGTCAACGCCTCTGCCGGGTTGCGCTGCTTTTCCTCTGTATTGATACATTCTGGCAGGTTAAGATCCATGGTTGTTCACGTGGTTGGTATTTGGCGAGCAGAAACACAAAGCTGAATGCTGTAGCAATTTCTATTTAAGAGCTCAGCCATCCGATATAATCGCGGCTCTGTCTAAATTGCAAGCATTCTGGCGGTTAGGGCAGGGTTCTTAGATGAGCGTTCTTTGTCTGATTCCTTGTGATACAGCCAAGGCTCAGTGCGACCAAGAGGTATTCCTGGCCTCGGGATACATCAACAATCCCAACGAAGATCTCGGCAGAAATTGACTCCATTTTCCCTCTCCTGCCTTGAGGATGATTCAATGTGGTGGTATCTGAGCAGTCAATCAGGAGTGACGGTGTTCAAGGCCAGGGAATAACGATTCATAGCAAGTGTATACCTAGACGGCGAGCTAATCCTGCTTCCACATGTACGCGCTTATCAACATACCTACAAGTTAGTTCTAGACAAGGGATGGGCTTTGGAGCAAATGCTGGCTTGTCGAGTCTTGGGCCTGCACGATGTTGGGGCATAGCGTGCAACAACTGGCCATAGTATCACTCGTTTTAATCTATCTCAGGGTCATCATTTGTAGGGTAACTACATATATGGTGGAGGAGATACATAGTTATGGAGCCACGAGGAATGGATTGTTATGATCGTGAATGATTGACGGATAGGTCTCTTACTAAGGAGATGATCAGGACCCCCCGGATAAATCTCCCCCTTCAATCCTAACAAGGGGTTTATCTGAGTGGGAGTCTATAATAGTGATAGCTGAGCTACGCTTCTCATAAATCTTGATAATAATGAGTACTCAACATTACCACTACCCAACGTCCCTTCCACCCGAACAGGCCAACTAATCTAATCTACCTAACCATAGGAACGCCGCAGAGTATACCAAAACCCAAGCACAACCATACACCGACTATCCCAGGGGTGTCCGAATCGTCCCACACTGCCGATCGTACTTATCGTATATCGTCTGGAAGAGTCTCAGATCCTGCAGCGCATCGGCAGCCGTCGTCTTCGCAGCTGTCCCATCCACCAGGAACGTATGTAACGCCTGCAGCTCGGCCGTCAACGTCTCCTCCCACGTGCTCACGGTCTCAGTACGTCTCAACTCGCCCGTCTCATCAGTGGTCTCGACAACCACGCGCATAGGCTGATCCCACGCGTACGGCAGGCCATACGACATGCTCACCGTCTTGGTGTTCCCGTAGACGGCAATGTGGGCGTCGCAGCGTGGCACGGCGTCGGTGCCTGTCTCGTACATCAGCGTGAACGGGTACTCGCCGCGGCTGACGCGGCCGTCATAGTGCAGCAGGATCGAATAGAACGGCTCGTTGACGGTGATGTTCGATATGGCGTCCGGGTCGCCGAATAGATCCCGCATCAGACCCAGATCGTGGCAGCCCAGCGACGCGAGGAAGTGCGACAGCGCCAGACGTGACCGCGTCAGGTCCTCCCCGCCGAACGCCTCATTGAGGAGCCGCGTAAGAATGGCGCGACCGTCGGCGGTGGGGCCTGAAGGTGTCGTTGGGGCGGTGTTGGGACCGTTGGTCGCGAACCAGTCCTTCTTTGGGGCGGTGGCGGTATGAGCAGAGTGCGGGCCAGCGATGTTGCGACACCGCGCATAGTAAATGCGGTCGAGGCTGGCGACCTCCTTTTTGAAGACGGCGTCGAAGCAAGGGGCGTAGCGGCGGGCGCAGGCGACGAAGACCTTGGCGTGGTTGGGCGCGCGCTGCTCGGCCGCGATGATGCGTTTGGCGCTCTGGATGCTCAGGCTGACGGGGATCTCAACCATGACGTGTTTGCCAGCGTCGAGGGCGGCCACGGTGTATCGCTCGTGGAACTCGTTCGGCATGAAGTTGAGCACGAGGTCGACATTCGGGTCGTTGATGACGGCTTCAGGAGTGGAGGCGAGCTGGGGTCCGTCCGTCTTCTCGGACGAGCCATTGCTGTTGCTGTTCGGTCGGGTTGCAACAGCGAAGTCGTAGAGGGAAACGACTTGGTAGGATTTGTTGAGGGTTTGGAGGATCGGGAGGTAGAGGTGGCGGATGGACTCTGTTCCTGCGGAGAGGATGCCTACCCGCAGGACGGTTTGTGTCATTTTGTGTGATTTTGTGTGTATCCGATGTTGGTCAGTTGGAGGCGAACGATGAATCCAGGGAGGGACATACTGGTCTGATATAAGTAGTAGATCAGGGCGGTGGCGTCGGTGAATGTACAATAGCTCAGGTTGGGTGCGTTCGACAAGGAGCTTCCACGCGCATTCCCGAAAGTGAAAGTTGTTGAGTAGAACGATTGATGCAAGAGAGACAGAAGTTGGACAGCCTGTTACTCTGCCGGTATGAACACAGAAGGTGTGGCGCACATGACGGCGCAAGGGGAATGTGACATCATTGCTGTTTCCGGGCGGAGGAGCTGACAGGCAGACGACCATGGTTCAGATGATGTTCCTGTTATCTCAGCTGTCATCTAGTTGTCATGTTGATGTATTGGCTATCTCTCTAGAATTACCTATTTGGTATAGTAGTGCAGGTATATACAATACGGAGTTGTGGGTAAATATATAAGTAGTGACTATTAGTATAGGAGTGGAGAGTCCACTTTCTTACGTAGCTTAAGCTCCAGCAGATCATCTATAAAAAGAATCAAAATAGAATCACCAGAGTAGCCTAGCATTAGTACCTAATGTATAGTTAGTTAGTACCACTGTTTGTGGCAGTGTCATCGTGCCCACCAAATCTCCGAAGCGGGGCTTTATATGTTCCTCTCCTTTTCTTTCATCCTCTACATCGTCATCTCTTCTTCACCCCTCATCTCTCCTCGCCGTCACCTTCATCTCTTTTCCACTTCCATCACAACAACCATGGGGGTAAGTTCTCTTTCACTCCAGAGCCTCCCGTCCAGCCCTCTATCCCAGACAGTCCCCTCTCGAATCTCTATATCCCTCCAGCCACAGCTGACACCTGCATCAGTTTGCTTCGAAAATCGCCAACAGCCAACAAGGCTCTACGCCGGGCGGCTCTGGCGTCTATGCGGGCGCACCTCCGTCTGGTTATACCGGCGGTCCCCCTGCGTCTCTGCAGCCTGGCGGATCAGGTGGATATAACCAGAATCCTCAGGTGAGTCAGACCAGAAAAGGAGAAGAAGCTGAAACAGAAATCGAAGTCCAAGCTCAAACTAACAGCATCAGCAACCGCCTCAGCAATACCAAGCTTATCCCGGTTCGTCGGGCGCTCCGGTAAGATTTCTGCCTTGTGGTCTCCCCTCCTTGACGTGCTCCCCCTCCATCGACCCGGACTCCACATCGCCCACCACACCTTTATATCGGACCAGCTCCCGCCTGGAACCTTCACTTTTCTCTTGATCCTACTACCTCTTCTACCTTTCTCTCAAACCACAACCCCCCTCCATCATGTCCCAACCGTATTATAACCCCCACGGTTATCCCCCACAGCTCCGTCCCGGTTCCGCCCAGTCTCCATACCCGCCCTCATCGCCCGCGCCGCAGCAACAGGGTCAGTACCAGGCCTATCCGCCATCCGTTCCGGGCAACAAGCCAGTTCCTGCGCCGTCGCCTCAACCCCAGGCCTATCCCGGTGCTCGACCCTCCCCCTCGCCCGCGCCGCAAGGATATCCCCCGTCTCCCTACAGCCAGGCCCCTCCCCCGCCCCAGGGCTATCCGCAGGCCCCTCCATATGGACAACCTCCCCCGGGACCTCCTCCTTCTCAGCAATATGGCGCCCCGGGACAATATCCTCCACAGCCTCCCTCTCATGTACTGAAACTATCTTGATGCCCCTTGTCGTGCTTTCATCGTCATGGTTTTCAATGTCGTTGAATGAGAAGACACCAAGCTAACATTGTCCATGTCTCTAGTACCCTCCGCAGCAAGCACCGTACCCTGGCGGTCCTGGCCAGCAGCCGGGGGCCCCCTATGGTCCTCCCGGGGGAGCCCCTCCGTCCGCTCGGGCAACTGATCAGCAGATAGGCGCCTATCGTCAGCTCCTCATCGCCACCATCCAGGAAAACCAGATCCAATACTTCTATCCCCCCGACAAACTCGACAGACTCGTTCAAAACCTCGCCAATGAGGCTCCCGCCAAGATCAACAAGCTCTGCCATGAGTGGAACGTGCCTCAGGAAGTCGCTACCGATATTATCAAGCTCAGCCTCTTCGATGTCGTCATCTACGTGGACGACAGTGGTTCGATTGAATTCGAGGAACGCGGCATCAGAAAGGAACAGCTTAAACAGATTCTCGGGATCGTTGCGACCGCCGCGTCGACCTTTGACCAGGACGGCATCTCCGTCCGCTTCATGAACTCGTCCGAACAGGGTGACGGTATCCGCAACGCCGGCGACGTGGAGATGCTTGTGTCGCGCGTTCGCTTCCAGAGCTTGACCCCGCTGGGAACCGGCCTGAAGAACAAGGTGCTGGACCCCATGGTTGTCGGCCCTGCCAAGGCTGGACGTCTGCAGAAGCCCGTTCTGATCATTACCATCACCGATGGTCAGCCGGCTGGGGAGCCCATCGATACGGTGGCCAACTCGATCCGCTACGCCGTCGATGAGGTGTCGCGCACGCCCTGCGGACGCGGCGCCGTGTCCTTCCAGTTCTCGCAGGTGGGCAATGATAACAAGGCTCGGGAGTTCCTTCGCTCCCTTGATGAGGATCCCAGCATTGGAAATTTGATCGACTGCACATCCAGTAAGTGAAATTCACCCAGGTGTGTGGCGCGAGAATCTGACACGGTATAGACTTTGAAGTTGAACAGGACGAAATGATGCGCGCCGTGCCTCCTGTTCACTTGACTCGGGAACTTTGGGTGAGTAAACCAACAGTATTCAGGTCTCTGAGAAGTTGGATCTGCTGACACGAACCCCAGTGTGCGAAACTGATGCTTGGTGCTATCGATCACTCTTATGATACGAAGGACGAGAAGGCCGCGGGCCAGGGTGGCCTTCCCCCTGGACCGCCTCCTGGCCAGTACGGCGGGTACAACCAGGGTCCTGGGTATGGCCAGCCCGGACCGTATGGCCAGCCTCCTGCTCCCTCCTACGGCCAGCCGGCTCCGTATAACCCCGGGGGTGCTCCGGGAGGCGGGTATGGGCAGCCCCAATACCCGCCTAGCCAGGGCCATCCTCCGGCGCCCGGTTATGGGCAGCAGCAGTATCGTGGATACGGACCTCCTGGCGGAGCGCCTCCTCCCAGCGGCTACCCGCCCCAGGGAGCGTACGGTCAAGGCCCTCCGCCGCCGCCCCGATACTAGACATTGATGCGATGACTTATGAATACGGCCTTGTGCACACAGATGGGAGGATGGGGTTGATTTGCTCTTGACATTATTTATTGACCGCTGAACGAAGGGAAGGCAGAACGAAGCGGATAGAAGAATGGACGGGGGTGAGAAGCGATGAGCTGTATTTCACTACACATGATGCTGTATTCCTAGGAGCACCGACGCTTGCTCTTCGAATTTTGTCACGCGAATAGCATAAGTCTTTTTACTTACCTGGTCTACGAGCCGATCCAAATTGAAATATGCTCCGTAGTTCAAGGAGGTATTAAACTAGGTATCGGCTTGCCCTTGTTTTGCTGGTCTAGGTATATACCTACCTATACCATGTAATTATCCGTTCTGATGTACATAACTAACTATCAGATGAGGGATTTCTACGAGAGGAGTGATCGACACGAGGCATCGGAGAATAATCTGGAAGAATACGAAGCCCGATGACGTCGGACGAGCCACTAAGGGATGCGCGAGGTCACGTGAACTTCTCTATTGTACAGAGTACGGAGTGTTGTTATGATCCTGTAGAAGAGGCGAGTGTTCCACAGTGTACAATAGTGTGGTTCTTACTCATCGGTACCTTGCCCAGTAATAGACTCCAGAAGAGTTTCTGGTGGGTGCGAATCAAGGCACCCAGGCACCAAGGCAGTAAGTACGTTACTCCTAGTAGTCGCACCAAGAGTGACTGTTGCCACTAGTGCCCCACTTGTTTCTCGCCTTTCGCCATGAATTTGACCGAACTTGTGGATAGTCTATTGGGGAGAGAATGACATCCTTGGATGGGAGGGTACCCGGTGGAGGCACGCCACTGTGGAAGACAGCTTTTGTTGGAGTGCCGGTGGGGGAGGGGGCCCTCCGGTTATTTTTGTCCAAGAGTCTGGCGACTGGAAAGGATCCATGGATCAGGATTCTACCACATGGTCAGGGCCTTTGGTTGCGGGCGGTTGCGCGGCCTCCAAGCCACCACCACCGTGACTTGGCCTTTGCTTTGTTGCCTTGGAGAGAGTCCTCGAGGCGATCTCTTCTTTCTGCTTCTACCTGATCATATTCGTCCGGTCGAGAGTCTCTACCGAAATACTATCATCCGTATCATTATCGTTGATTTCTATCTTGTTATTGGTATTGCTCGTGTCGTTGCACGAGTACAATATACAGTCTTACCCGATCCGGCAAGGAGGCCAGACTCTCGCCGCCGCCCACGGAAACCCGTTATTATTATTTTCAGGCTCCCTCAACCGCACCCGGTCTAGTCCCTTTCTCCCTCACCTTCTCCCCCCGTCTTCACTCTCCACGTCGACAATCCCATCTCTCCTCGGTCCTTCTTTTCGGCTCCAGACCCATCTCAGTACTATACCCTCTTCACGGCCTCGTCCGTACTGTCGTTATCGTCATCCTCCCGTTGATCGCCGTGTCTCGCGTCCCCACCACTGTCGTTTCCGCTCCACTCGGTCTGGTCGCAACCAGTTCCGCTTCGCAGGATCGAGTTCGACCTGTCCTCTTTAGTGCTCAATTCTCTTCATGTCGACTTAACCACAGGTCCCGACCCTACGCTCCCCAAGCATGACCCAGGGCTATCTCAGTCTCTGCATCCGATCTACTCTATCTCTCGGTGCACCCGTCGCATTCGAATTTCGTGATTGTTAGAAACCGGAAAAAAACACACAAAAGCAAGCACAGGCAACGAAACGAACTCCAGCGGTCATTCCCCCTCCGACCTAGGCCATCTGCCTGCACAAATTTCTCCGTCTCTCGCAATGCCCGAACAACATGCGAGATCAGACGCCAATCAGGACCCACCGAGGGCATCCTTGACACAAGAGTCTACAGTGATGGACGAGGAAACACCTACTCAAGGGTCTACACCCCCGGAACTCCCCAGGAGTCAGTCCTTCGATGTCTCCACGCCGCAACACACCTCTAGCCACCCACGCCCCTCGATATCCCCCTCGCGCACGCGGTCGGACTTCGGCCGGCGGCCGTCGCAGCAGAACCGCGTGCGCTTCTCCAGCGACTTGGAACGACCGCCCGTTGAAGAATCCCGCTCCTCGACCTGGGACAGGCGCCCCAGCTCGCGAGGTCTCACCATCGATACCAGCCTCACCCGCCAACCTGGCACCTCTCCCACCCGTGGTCCGACCTCGACTCTTTCCCCCAGCAATGCGCTGTCGCCAACGTCTCCGCAGAGCCCAGACTCTGTGGGTCGCTCCCGATCCCGCAATCGTGGCTACTCGCTTCGCAGGACGATCTTCGCAAAGAACATCCAGACACACTCCGGTCCGAATTCGCCGGTCGCCATTGAGATGGACCAGACGCCGACCCGAGAGGAGCCCGAACCGCCGTCGGGCAGCGGTGATAGCAACCATGATAGCTCGGGTGAGGATGAGAAGCGCGAGGCCCTCGTCACCCAAACGTCAACGCACTCCGTCGATGAAACGACAACTTACTTCTCCGAACCGTCGGACGGTCTCAAGGAAGGACGACACCTATCCACAACCTTGTCTTACGAGCAGTGGCTGAAGCGGCGGGCCGCCATCGCCACGATGATGTTGCGCGTGGAGGCCCTTATCGAGACCGTCCGTAAGTTTGTCCTTCGAGTCAAGGAGCTGCCTCCCAGCAAAGATGGTCGCCAGATCGATCTCGATCCGACTCGGACGGAGCCCTTGATCGATGAGAGAACCGGGAAGCCTTACATTGAGAATTGGATCCGGTCCAGTCGATATAGTTTCTGGAGTTTTTTTCCCCGTCAGCTGTTCGCGCAATTCACCAAGTTGGCCAATTTCTATTTCCTGATTGTGGCCATCTTGCAGATGATCCCGGGGTTGAGTACGACTGGAACATATACCACCTTGATCCCGCTGTTGATCTTCGTGGGGATCTCGATGGGAAAGGAAGGATTTGACGATTGGCGCCGGTACCGCCTAGACAAGGAAGAAAACAACCGGGTCGCAGCTGTGCTGCGTCCTGGAATCAACATGATGCCTGGGTCCTCGCCCAGCGACAGCATCTCTGTGTCCAGCGATGACCGGTGGACATCGGTCAAATGGAAGGATATCCGGGTCGGAGACGTCGTCCGATTGCAGCGGGACCAGCCCGTCCCGGCAGATATGGTTCTTTTACACGCCGATGACCCCAAATGGGGTGGCTTATATCGAGACCATGGCCCTCGACGGCGAGACGAATCTCAAGAACAAGCAGCCGTGCCAGGCCGTCGCCAAAGTGTGCGGGTCCGTGGAGAGCATTTGCAGCAATTCCATCCGGTTCGCGGTGGAAGATCCCAACACCGATCTCTACAAGTTCGACGGCAACGTGACCGTCGCTGCGGGCGAGAAGCTGCCCCTGACGAATAACGAAATCCTGTACCGCGGAAGCATCTTACGAAACACCGAACAAGCCATTGGTATGGTCATCTACACTGGCGAAGAATGCAAGATTCGCATGAACGCGAACAAAAACCCGCGCATTAAATCGCCAGCTCTCCAGGCCAAGGTTAACCGCGTTGTCATGCTCATTGTGTTGCTCGTCGTCATCCTGGCCGTCGCCTGCACGATTGCGTACAAATACTGGTCGCAGGATGTGGAAAGCCATGCCTGGTACCTGGCCAAGGCCAACGTGAGCTATGGTCCAATCTTCACTTCTTTTCTGATCATGTTCAATACCATGATTCCCATTTCGCTCTATGTGAGTATGGAGATCGTCAAAGTCGCCCAAATGCTCATGTTGAACGCCGATATCGACATGTACGACCCCGAGACGGACACGCCTCTCGAAGCGCGGACATCGACGATCAACGAAGAGCTGGGTCAAGTCAGCTATATCTTTTCCGACAAAACCGGCACCCTGACCAACAACTCGATGCGCTTCCGCAAGATGAGTGTCGCGGGCACAGCGTGGTACCACGACACTGATCTTCGGGAAGAGGCCGCCAAGGCAGGTGATGGGGAGAAATTGATCCACAAGAAACGAAACGCCAAAGGGAAGAAGGCCGTAGGTCGGAAGTCGACTGCCTCCGAGGCTCGGTCCTTCATGGCTCGCGCTTCGACGTCTGTGATGGAGACCTCTCGGAAAGACAACCGAGTCCTTCGCAACAACACGGTCGATATGTTGAAGTACATTCAACGCAAGCCCTATACTGTGTTTGCCCGGAAGGCGAAAATGTTCCTCCTGTCCATCGCTCTGTGCCACACCTGTATTCCCGAGACGGATGAATCCGGCGAGATCTCCTTCCAGGCTGCATCGCCCGATGAACTTGCGTTGGTAATGGCCGCTCAGGAGCTCGGGTACCTGGTCAGAGACCGCCAGCCCGGCACCGTGACCATCAGGTCCTATCCCAATGGACCGGGTGGGACCCCAAGCGATGAAGTCTATCAGGTCCTCGATGTGATTGAATTCTCGAGTACCCGGAAACGCATGTCGGTTGTTGTGCGCATGCCTGACCAGCGCATCTGCGTGCTCTGCAAGGGCGCTGATAGTGTTTTGATGAAGTTGCTCAAAAAAGCATCGCTTGCGCAGGAAAAAGCGCTGGAGATCGAGCGGCGCGCCAGCAAGCGCAAGGCTGCCGAAGCCAACCAGGTCATGAGAAGGAATAGCGAGTACCAAAGCCGGAAGGACAGCGGAGTCCGAACCAGCTTCGCCCGGCCGAGTCTCTCTCACCGCCGTTCCAGTGTCTCGGGTCATCGGGTCTCTGCGCTGAGGGACAGCATCGATGTCTGGCTCCGTGATCGCGAGACGGACGGAGGCATCCTGACCAAAGAAAAGGATCCGGAATACTACAGTCCCCGCCCGTCTGCGCAGCTAGGCCGACAGTCTACGACGTTCTCCGACTCTGGAAGCTCGGTAAATGAGGACGATGATGACGATCTAGTGGAGGAAGCACTCGTTGTCAACGAGTCGGCCGTGTTTGAAAGATGCTTCCAGCACCTGAATGACTTTGCTACGGAGGGCTTACGGACACTCTTGTATGGCCACCGGTTCCTCGATGAGACCACGTATACCAGCTGGAAGGCTGCCTACCGCGAAGCTTCCACCAGCCTGGTTGACCGGCAAGAAAAGATTGAAAAGGTCGGTCAGCAGATTGAGGAGCAGCTTGAACTGACCGGAGCCACTGCGATTGAGGATAAGTTGCAGAAGGGTGTGCCGGAAGCCATCGACAAGCTTCGACGGGCGAATATCAAACTGTGGATGTTGACCGGTGACAAGCGTGAGACGGCCATCAACGTCGGCCACTCGTGCCGTCTGGTGAAGGATTATTCGACCCTTGTCATTCTGGATCAGGAGACTGGCGAGGTGGAGCAGACTATGGTCAAGCTCACCACCGACATCCACAAGGGCACCGTTGCGCACTCTGTGGTTGTGGTGGATGGCCAGACGCTGGCAATGATCGAATCTGATGAGACGTTGAGAGTGCGATTCTTCAACCTGACGGTTCTGGTTGATTCGGTGATCTGCTGCCGTGCGAGTCCCAAGCAGAAGGCGTTCCTCGTCAAGTCGATTCGGACGCAGGTGAAGGATTCGGTCACGCTGGCCATCGGTGATGGTGCGAACGACATTGCGATGATCCAGGAGGCCCACGTTGGCATTGGAATTACGGGTAAGGAAGGGCTGCAGGCGGCGCGGATCTCCGACTATTCCATCGCGCAGTTCCGGTTCTTGCTGAAACTGCTCCTTGTGCATGGTCGGTGGAACTACATCCGGGCGTGCAAGTACACCCTGGGAACGTTCTGGAAAGAAATGCTGTTCTACCTCACGCAAGCGCTGTACCAGCGGTGGAACGGGTATACCGGCACCAGTCTGTACGAACCCTGGGGCCTGAGTATGTTCAATACGCTCTTTACGTCGCTGGCGGTGATCTTCTTGGGTATCTTCACCAAGGATCTGTCCGCGTCGACCCTCCTCGCCGTCCCGGAACTGTACACCAAAGGACAACGCCATGCCGGGTTCAACATCAAGCTCTACCTGGGGTGGACGTTTATGGCGACCTGTGAAGCGATGATTGTGTACTTCCTCATGTTCAGCCTGTGGGAGAACGTTCTCTTTAGCATCACAGGCAGCGACATCTTCTCGGCGGGACTTTTGACGTACACGGTGTGCGTGATCGTCATCAACACGAAGCTGCAGGCGCTGGAGGTGCATAACAAAACGTACCTGTCCCTTGCAGTGATGATCATCTCGATCGGCGGCTGGTTCATGTGGAACCTGATCTTGTCGAAACGGTACGATTTCAAGTCGGGCGACGGGATCTACCATGTGATCGGCAACTTTGTGTTCCAGTCGGGCCACGATCTGGGCTTCTGGGCGGTGCTCCTGGTGACGACGGCGGCGGTGCTGCTGTTTGAGATCGTGGTCAGCGCGGTGCGGGCCAACCTGTTCCCGACGGACGTGGATGTATTCCAGGAGTACGAGCAGGACTTGGACATCCGGAAGCGATTCGAGGAGGCGGCGGCGTCGGAGCTCCAGCAGGGGTGGGACCACGGGACGAAGAAGGCGAGCTTCGAGCTGGCGCGGGAGGCGGCGGAGCTGGCGGCGCGGGAGCAGCAGGTGCAGGAGCTGTTGGCGCGGCCGCGGGTGATGCACAAGGCGGCGTCGGGCTCGGGCCGGGTTGAGATGGAGGCGGTGGAATTGCAGGGCCGTGGCGAGGAGACGAGCGGGCGACGGCGATCGGTCGAGATCCAGGAACTGTTTAGCAAGGGATTTGGGACGATCCGAAAGGGACACCTGAAGTGAGGTTCTTTTTTTGGCTTGTTGTTGTTGTTTCTAGCGTCTGGCGTTGGACGGATACCCGTGGATGTCACTCCTTGAAGGTTGTTACTGTAGATAGTGCATTATTTGTATAATGGATGTACTCTGTATACGGATGAGGTACCTACGGAGTAGTAGCATCGGCGTACTCCGTGTCCTCTGTAGAGGTGGTAGCCTCCACTTGGTGGATAGTAAGAGTACTCCGTAGATAGTTCGCTGGGGGTGACTAGCTGGGACTATTGGCACCCACTGGGGCTGTTCATTTTCACGTGGCGGTACAGAGTATATCTATTCAGTTTACTGATGCTGGTAAAGGTATCCGGGACCTAACGATGCGAGTAGACCTTGCATCGACGCATGGTAACAGACGCATTGCGCGAGGTACAAGACGACCTACAGATACTTTCGTCCAGAGAAGGTAGATGTAAGTAAGGTACCAGGTAAGGTAGGAATTAACAGAAAAGGAAGGTCAGCACCGTCGTCAGGTACTCCTACGTCTGTAGACCAACCACCACACGAGCGCGTCCCCACCGGCAACGCTGTCAGGGCAGATGGCCAATCAGGAGGGTCGGGTGACAAGCCACGGCGGGTACCTGAATGCAGACCCAATTAGGAGGCTTGTTTGGTCGGCACGGGCGGAGTCCACCACGAACTTGACCGAACGGTCTGGATATGTCCTGTTCTTAGTCAGGTCTATTAATAGTTGGTAGGATTCGTGATTCTGTTGACCGTAGGTATGTACATAGTACTGGGAGTATATTATAGTAATAGTAGACGTAATGCGCCCATTCGATCAAAAGAAAAAGAGAGCCCCTGGTAAAAGTACCAGCCATGGAGGTGCAGGCAGCGGTAGACCCGCCACCAGCCAAGTTGGAAACGCAGTGGCGGCGATGGCGTAACGAGGCCCAAGTACCGTTCACTCGGCAAACGACGGCTCCACCGGGTTCCTCTCCGTACTAAAGTAGTTGGTTAGTTGTCTTCGTACAGAATGGGTTGGATGGGATTGATCCAGCCTCATCCACCCACCCCAATGGCATCACCATCATCATCGTCATCTTCTTATTCTTCTTGTTCGTCATCGTCCTTGCGGATAGTTGTATAGTCTGGTCTTCTGCCACCTACCTACCCACATACGGAGTACAATCCTCCTACTTACACTTCCATCGCAGAAAGGCATGGTGGACCGCCGAACGGTCCAGACATCCGATTGTTTGGTTCAGAGGGCCTCGAGTCGCTCTCATTCGCCATTCCACCCTTTGCGGTTCTATGTATAGACGGATGTCATCCGGGTCAGGGTCAGGGTCTGCGGAAATCGTCCCCGACATGACCACGTCAGTAGGAGTATCTAGAAGAAGTACCTTTTGACTGCGGTGACTACTGGAGGATACCTCGCATCCTACAGATCCGAGCCTCCCGTTTATTGGCAGAGCACAGATGCAGGGGTCAAGTACGAGAAGAAAATACAAAACGAAAATAATCAAAATAATCACCAGCATCCAACAGTCACCACGGAAGATATCATCCCAACCATCATCATCAATTATAAATAATAATCATCCATCCTACGAACCCATTACTCCCATTACTCGAAGCCGATTGAAGACTTTTCGCCTCGCTTCGAGCCCAAGAACGCCCCACGGAGAAGCCAGGAACCGCCGGTGCCAAACCCGCCAGCGGCGCCTAACCCCGTTGGGACACCCCATCTCCTGATTCTCTCTCTCTCTCTGTCTCCCACTCACTCCTCTCTCTCTCTCTCTCCTCTTCTTCCTCTTCTCCTCTCCTCTCTCTCTCTCTCTCTCCCTCCCCTCTCCTCCCCCCATCGACCATCTTTTCTTTTCATTCACTCCTTTCTTCCATTCATTCTTTTCATTCCTTCCTTTTCTTCCCTCCGTCGTTCGTTTCACTCTTTCACGTTCGACCCCCCATCGCCAACGCTCTAGTCTCTTGGACGGTGATCGCTCATTTGTCATCTCATCTCATCCCATCCCATCCCATCTCTCTCCATCTTATGCGACTTCACCCTCCATTCTCCACGACTGCGAAGGCTCCCATTTCCATTCGCCCTCAGCTGCATAGGACAGCTGCTTTTCCATTTCCTTCCTTTCTTTTTTTTACACGCTTCTGCGACGCGCTCATCCACTCCCCGCCTCGTGTTGCTGGTGTCCACTCTCCCACACCACCACACTTCCATTCGTTTGACTCCCTATTCCTTCCTCTCTGGCGCTTGAAGCAGCTGCAGAGATCGGACATCCATCCTTGACTGTCGGCCGGATCGTCATTTCGTCCCCTCCTTTCCCATCCAATCTTTTCTCTTAACCCACTTGGTCGATTCTTCCTCTGCTCCCTTCACTTCTCTTCGGTCAATCCCTGCAAACAATGTCTTCTTCGACAGACACCCCTGATCCGTCGGCCATGTCGACGGCCCCCACCACCACCGCCTCTTCCTCGTCTGCCGCCTCCACCCCCTCGCCCTCCACCTCCAGCGCAACCACCGCCCCCGCCTCGAGCCAACGCCGTCCCCAGCGCAAGAGCAACCTGACGCAGCAGCAGAAGAACAACAAGCGTCAGCGCGCCACCCAGGATCAGCTCGTCACCCTCGAGATGGAGTTCAACAAGAATCCCACCCCCACTGCCGCCACCCGCGAACGCATTGCCCAGGAAATCAACATGACCGAGCGCTCCGTGCAGATTTGGTTCCAGAACAGGTACGTTTGTCGGAAGTTGGAAGTCTGGTTTTCGTCTAACTCGTCCAGGCGCGCCAAGATCAAGATGCTCGCGAAGAAAAGCATCGAGACCGGTGAAGGCTGCGACTCCATTCCTGAGTCGATGCGCCAGTATCTGGCCATGCAATTCGATCCGAATAAACCCGGCGCACGAGACCCGTTTGGTCGCACGGGGGCTTTCGGTCCCAATGGCGCGTATCCCCACGACTCGGCCCCCTCTGGCAAAGTTGGTATGTTGGCGTTTCCCAAACCTCATGCGATTCCCCTAACCCCGCGATAGTGATTCACCATTTCACCTGCCGCTCTTTGACCATCGGTAGCTGGCGCCGCATTGGACAGAACGCGATGGACCTGGTGGTTTTCTACTCTCCCGAGAAGGCTTGCATGACCTACTACATCAACAATGACTCCGCCGGCTACAAAATTGAGTACCCGTTTGCCTACATCAAGAACATCACGCTGGAATCGGGCGATCAGACGGCACAGCCCAACGGAGCGCCCCCGCGCCCGGGCGGTCTCATCGTTGAATTGAACCGCCCGCCGCTCTTCTACATGGATTCCTCCAACTCCGGTGGCTTCTACCAGTGCGGCGACTTCACCGAGGACCAGCAGGCCAGCCAGCTGTTGGTGCACCATCTCGGCGGCCACCCCAAGGTCCTGAGCGTCCAGCTGGCCAAGCTGGTCTCGTTGGAGTCGTTCCAGAACCGTCTGGCCTACAACAACTTCGCCATGAGTGCGCCCATGTCCCCGCCTTTTATCCAGCGGCCCGCCTCCCAGCCGAATCAATTTGCCCCGGCGTTTGTGGGCATGTATGCGGAGAACCCCGCGACGCTGAGTCTGCAGCAGGCGGCGCGCGGACACAAGCGCCAACGCAGCCGTTCGGTGCCCGTTGCCGTCGACTTCTCGGCCATGCAGACCCCCATGTCGTACCACATGCAGAACCCGTCGCAGTTTAGCCAGCCAGATTCGGGTATCTTTGCCCCTGTTCCGCAGTCGACCCATCCCCTGGCGGTGAACCTGCGCATCGATACGTCGGCCCCCTACGGCTTCGACCCGCGCGGCCATCCCATGTCGGCGGCCACCACGAACTCACCCTCGGACTTTGCCAGTCCCTCGCTCTTCTCGACGGGGCCTCCGGGCGAATCCACGCCGGTCGCCACGAACATCCACCCACAATTCAACATGCCATTTGTGTCCCCGCCGGTGGACTCGTCTACGCTCGCCACCCAGGCCGCGTCGCCGTACTCCACAGTCAGCCACGCGGACCCCATGATTGCCGACCAGTCCCCTCCCATGACCAACATGCATGCGTCGCAGGAGATGTACGGCCTGAGCAACGAGCATCAACCCCATTTTGCGGACGAGAACATGTCCATGAGCGGCATGTTCCCCAAGCACAACATGAACTTCTCGGTACCCACCACCATGGACGTCGGAGGCAACACCTTTGATCTTCCCATTCAGACCCTGTCCAACCACCCGTCCCCGGGGGTTCAGGGTGACTACCAAAGCATGACTCCGCTGGAGAATGTTGATCCCAACACGCTGGCTCCTGGGGCGTGAGCGACGCAGCTGCTCCGTCCTGGACGGATCTCTTGAGTCTTCCCACGGCTGTGACAGTACGTGGCTCTCCCTGGACCGACCTCACGGCTCGGCCGGATACCTTGGATCCTACACATATGGTCATTTGATCTACTGGAGATACCCTGCTTTGGCCTTTCCGCGCCTCACTAGACAGTGGTGCGCGCGCGCGCGCGCGCGCGACACCTGTTGATGATGATGAGGAGGATATATCGATCCTTTTCTTGTGATATGTTCTCAGCGATTTGGACTTTTGATTTCGTTTGTATTAATACCCTTCTTGTGCGGCTGGTCCTATGTTTTCCCATGATTTGTCCCGGCACTTGGCTGGACAGACTTTTTTTTCTTCTGTGATATTCCCTTGACCTTTTTTCTTGTTTATATACCTGGTCGGGGCTTAACGTGGTTATGGCAGTACTCAGGCAGATGGCGAGATTGAGTTGATTTTGACAGTTCTGGGTCGGCAGGTCAGGAATTTGTTTGCATATTCCCTTTGTGATGGTTCTTGTCTGTTCTTGCTGTTGATCTGATCCGGTAGCTATGGCGCTTGGAGTGTCGCGGAGTTGAGAGATTCTTCGCGATAAGAAGCTTGACAGACTTTTGGACTTGGTAGTATGTTTCTGGTAGGGTAAGGGTATCTTGTAGAATGTATATACAGTATGCCAGGCTATCTATCTGAATGCCGTCTATATCATGACTGGTTCCATCCGGCTGGAGGCGGCGCCTTCAGCCCCCTCGACTCCCGCAGATACCGTTCCACCCACACCTCCATCTTCTCCAGCACATTGCGACGAGGATCCCCGCCCTCGGCAATCCCATCGCGACACCACACACTCCACGACCCCATCCTGGCCGCCATCAGCACATCCGTGCCCAACCGATCCCCCACGACGGCAATCTCATCCGCGCGCGTCACCACCCCGCGCTCCCGAAACCACCGCACCACCGCCTCCCCGCAGAACGGCTTCTTCTCGCACCCGGCCGGCAGCCGGAACACGGGAATCCGCAGACTGGCCAGCCGGTCCTCGAGGTCGGCGATCTCAGCGTCGTAGCGCGGGTGCGACCCGGCGCGGTTCGAGACGATCAGGATCGCGTCCGGGTGCGCGTCGCGATTGAAGGGCGAGGTCGGTGAGGTGCGTAGATGGTGCAGTTTTTCGTAGATGGGCGTCGGGAGCGTGGTGGTTTTGGATGGGCAGAGGGTGTTGTCTTTGTCAAGGACGAGGGCGCGGATGGTTATTGCGTGGTCTTTTTCGTTTGGGGGCTTTTCGTGGATGGCTTGTTGCAGGGCTGGGCCGAGCTGTTCGGGGAGGGAAGTGATTGTTGGGATGGTGAGGTGCGGGAGGAAGTGCGCCGGGGATTTCAGGAGGGTTTGGACGGCGAGCTGGAATGCGCGGAGGTTGGTGTTTGGGGGGTTCATCTTGGACCGGGTGGGTGGGTGTAGGTAGAGGGAGAGGAGTACTTGTACAGAGGGAGGTGAAGATACCGCTTTGGGTTCTTGGCAGAGCCGCAAAACTCTCCTCTCTCCGCTGCCATCAACCCATCATCAATTGCTTCACCTTTCCTTTCCTTCTTTTCCCTCCGTTTTCTCCCTCCGACGCGCGGCTTTCCATACCGCTTTTCCACCTCGTTTATTTTCCTCTCCCTCCCCGGCACAATGGGCAAGCTCACCAGCACGATCGGAATCCCGATCAAGCTCCTCAACGAGGCCCAGGTCCGTCCCATTCAAGCACCACCAAGTCTACCAAAGTCGATCTTCTAACTCTACCAGGGCCACGTCGTCACGCTCGAAATCACCTCCGGCGTCGTCTACCGCGGAAAGCTCCTCGAGGGTTCGTCCGCCACCCTTCCATTCCCTCCCGTCTTCGCCCACACACCAGCTAACGCATCCCAGCCGAGGATAACATGAACGTCCAACTGAAGGATATCACGGTCACGGCACGCGACGGGCGCGTCTCGCATCTCGACCAGGTCTACATTCGCGGCAGTCATGTGCGCTTCTTCATCGTTCCGGATATGCTGCGGTACTTTCATCCTCCCTTTGCTCTACCCGACAGTGCCCTCTGCAGAGTGCCGTCGATGGCGATAATGATAACGACAGTGCTGACAGCTACAGGAACGCCCCGATGTTCCGCTCTCGAGGCCAGCGCGGTCGTGGTGTCGGTCTGGCGCGTGGAAAGGCGACGGTGCAGCGGGCGAGAGGACAGAGACGGGGTTGAGGCGTTGGGCTTTTCTTTTTCCAGTCGTTTGTTTGTTAATGGGTTTGCTTGGGTGAAATTTTATACCCTCTATGACTTGGTCAATCTCTGTAGTGCGTAGAGAGTACTCCATATATGTCTGTAGTGTGTAGAGCTACCTATAGAGCTAGGATGGAGAAACTCCGTTCCACCTCCGTCTCCCCGCACATCACCACTTCTACACCCTCTGCTGCAGTCTCCTCCCACACATCAACTCACAATGGCGCAACCAACGCAAATCCGCAACCCCCGCCGTCTCCTCATCCTCGCGCCCACCTCCCACTCGCCCTCCACCATCCCCCCGTTCCTCCACGCCTTGACCGGCGCCCCCGTCGCCGCCGCCACCTTCGCCGGATACACCACGCACCCGCCCCTCCGCCTCCAGAACAAATACTACACCGCAGACGTGCCGATATGGGTCGACGAGATCCCGCTCGACACAGACCACCGCTCTTCCCCTCCAGCTCCCCCGTCCACGACAACGCCCGCAGAAGAGAAAGCCGTCACCCCAACGCAATGGCAAACCGAATTCTCCAGCCCCGAAGCCCAGGTCGTCCGCGACGCCATCGGCGCGCTGATCATCTGCGTGCGCAACCTCGACGCTCCTGCGCCTCCGCCCCCGTCCGAGGGAGAGGGTGAGAATTCCGCTTCTGAGGAGGTCGACACACGCGCCGACGTCCGCGCGCTGATCGATTTCCTCCGCGCGGTGGGCGCCGTGCGCGCGCTGATCGAGGACGAGCGCGGCGGCGTGGACGAAGTGCCTGCGGTGGTTGTGCTGGTGGGCCGGACCGAGACGCCTGCCGCCGCGACGACTACGGCGGAAGACGACAGTCCCGGGCTCGACGGCGAGACCCCGTTCTCGGTGCCCTGGTGGGAGGACCAGCTATTTGAGATGGGCATGGTGGGGGTTGAGGTTGTGGCGTGGGATCCGCACGCGGGGGAGGCGGAGACGCGGAATCAGTTTGGAGGTCTGTCTTTCCTTTTTCCTTTGGTTCTTTGTTCTGTTCTTGCAGGTCTGTTTGGGTGGGTTGCTGACGGACGTAGAGTACCAGGGTATGCGGCGGGTGCGCGAAGTCCTCGAGACGCATCAGTGGGCGGCGGCGGAGTCGGATGCGAAGAGCGACGACGGCGACGCCGACGAGCTTGAACGCGAGTTACTTGGGCTGGACGACGAGGCTGGGTTTGATTGGGAGGTTGGGGAGCTGGAGCGGGAGATGGTGGGTTTGCGGTTTGCTATGGAGCGTGGGGAGGAGTTTGAGGGTGATGACCAGGGAGAGGGAGACGGCGACGGCGACGATGAGCGCCGCGTGGAGTCGGTCGAGGGTTTGCTCTTGCGGATGCAGGCTATCCGGGGTATGTGATTGCTTCCTTAGCCAGGTTGAGCGCTGCTAACGTTGGTAGATATGAGCGACGAGCTGCCCGAGCAGGAGCGCAAACGCTTTGCCGCGAGGGCTGTACGAGATATCATGAAGGAGTTATAATGTTATAATATGTATTGCATTGCAATTTGATCTGATATGATCTATGATACAGTCTGCTCGCGATCTGCCGCGCAATGTCTAGTTCTATCCTCCGCTACTCCCGCTTCTTCATCACCTTTCTGCGCTGCGCGATCATGTGCGTGTACAGAATGTACGAGCCTATGCTGTTAGCATGCACCTGAGACACCCTCGAAACAACATACCAGGAACATAGATCGCCAGAACGACGATCAAAAACCACCGATACAGCGGATGGAACTCGCCCGCCGGCAGCAGCGCCTTGACCACCATGACGCACTCACTAGTGATGCCCAGCGGATACAGCACGTAGAAGGTGTTATACCTGCCTCGTCAGTCTCCATCCATTCCCATCACAAGAAAAACCTACCTCAACCACGTCCACCACGCCGGCACCCCCGCCCCCAACACCTGCAGCGCAAAGAACCCATACCGAATGCACTCAGTCACCCCCCACGCCGACAGACAGCCCAGAAACGCGTAGTCCCCGGTCTTGGCCGCGCCGTCCCCGCCCACGATGCCCGTCCCGTCGCCGCGCTCCTGGAACAGGAACATCACCCCCCACACCAGCAGCAGCCGGCTGGCCACCTGCATGGCCGTCGTGACGACCGGCGCCCGCACCACCCCCAGCAGACTGTGGAGGATCTCAAGCACCGCCAGTGTTTGCGTCGTCGTCAGCAGCGGCGTGTACACCGCGTGGAAGGCGGCGGGCAGGTTGTCCGGCGCGGCGCGGACGGCCTGCGCGCCGCGCAGCGTGCAGGCGGCCCATAGAGCGAAGCTGGTCGCGTTGTAGGCGAGCAGGTAGAGTTTTGTGAGGCCGGTTGGGCCAGATTTGGCGGGTTTGGGGGGCATTGCAGTCTTGGTGTATTGAGATTGGGATGTTGTGAGAGGGAAGAAGAGTTGGGCTGTGGTTGTGGTGGTGATTTATGTATGGGTGTTTTTGTTGGGACCGAGGTACATGCTTATGTAACGCCTTCAACATTCTCATTCTCACTACTACTAACTACTACTATATCCCACTATCATCACTCGTTGGCTACTCTCACTACAATCAGGCTCTCATACGCACTAGGCCGGTGTGCATAGACATCGACAATCTCCATCCCCGCCGACTTGAGCAGCTCCTCCCACTGAGTGCGGGTTCGTTCCTGCGACGCAAGCCACGCCAGCATCTGCAGGTCCATCGATGCCGCCATCCAATGCACGCCTTGGTCGGGCAAGACCATCTCGTCCAGCAGGAGGACGGACTCGGGTCCCATAGCCGCCGCCGTGTTACGCAGGATCTCCCGGCTCTTGTGGTCCGGGAAGTCATGCAAGACACCGCGCATGTAGTAGAATCGGGCCGCTGTCACGTCAGCACCTCGCATCAAACAGATCTACGGAGTATAAGCGGACTGTACCTTGAACAGGCTGCGGCTTGAAAATATCACACGCCATGTTCTCCACACCCGGAATCTCCGGTGCGCGTGCAATCACCTCCGGGAGATCCTGCAAGACCAGCTTCCCAGTCAGCTCCGGATACGCCGCCTGCAGACGGAGACACTCGTGCCCGTTTCCTCCGCCGATATCGACAAAGACCACCTCGTCGTCTCGCGCGGCGCCGCGCTCCTTCATCATCGTCGCGATGCGCGCCCAGTCCGTCAGCGCGGCGCGCTGCATCTGCATGTGCCAGTCGAACATGGCGCCGTATTTCGGGAACGCCTTGAAAAACGCCCACACGTCGCCGTCGATGTCGAATGCGTCCTGCAGCGCCACCTTGGTTGCATCCGTCGGGTTCGCGTAGTGCGTGCGCGCAAACGTCTCCGGCAGCTTGTGGCACACCGGGATGATCAACTCGTAGCTGCGAGCCTCGCGTCAGCGGCGTCTGTCCTGGCGAAGGGGACACTCACTAGCAGTCGATGTAGCTGCGGCCCTGGGGCGTGCCCAGCGCGCGGGTGACGTTGTTCGCGGCGAAGACGTCCACGCCTGTCTCGTCGACTATCTTCTCCGACGCGAGGTACCGCATCAGTCGGCCTGTGGGTGTTAACGGCATGCGATGATGGGGAGAATCAGTGTTGCCTACGGAGGAGAACGACATCAGCGCCGGTTGCTTCGGCGAGGGTCTGCACGGACAGAGCTGATGGACTCGCGGACAGCCGCTCGAAGAGCTCCAGGTCCCGCGCGATCTTCGCGACATGCAGCTGCAGTGGCTGGGCGGTGGTCAGTTTTGGTTCCGCTTGGCGCGTCTGGTCTGCTTACTGCAACAGCGATTCGCTGGATGCTCTCTTCGGGTCCCTCGAGGGAGATGGAGAGATCGTGCAGGGCTGTTATGAGCCGAGAACGGGTGGGTTCGTCGGCGCTGCTGGCGAAGATCTGCACTTGGGTGAGGAGTTCTTCCATGGTGTTCTGGATGATGCTGGATGTGTGGGCTCAGCGGGGAAAGTCGCGGGTTATGTTGGCCTCGAGATGCATTTTGTATAAGACTGCGACGGGCCATTTGGTGATGCGCGTGATGGTGAGTGTAAGTGTAACCCCTCCGGCCATTTTGTAATGCTGTCTTGTGTTTATTTTATGGTCAAGGGTGCTATAGCGATGATATCTGACTGACTGCTGGATGCTATCTTAGACGAGGGCAAGGAGCTGCTTCCATCGGCCGAGGTGTTGATGCTGACGTTCGAACGAGCATTGCGAGGTTGAGAAGACAGTCGGAGTAGTTGTAGGTGTCCTTGTGTCGCACGCAAAGGCATCTTGCAGCGATATGTTGTTCCGGACCAGTGCTGCCCTAACCATTGTCAACATGAATGGGTTTGTAGTTCGAATTGCAAGAGGCATAGCCGCTTTCATAACACGAAGTGAAGTGACTCAGTCGCCCTCCTGTGCGGGTGCACCGTACAACAGGACGAAGACGACCCTTGCTGACGTCTGTTCATATATCAGGTTATCAGACATGCGTCGTGCTACATGTACCACTACTGCAGCGCTGGCATGCTGGACCTCGGCTCTCAACGGCTGTGGCGGTTGAAGCAAGGAGGTCGTGTACACAAGACCGCTCCAGGCGGACGTCAATACGAGTCGCTCCACCGAGTCCTTGGTTTAGAACGTCTACACACCGCTTCTTGACCTATACGTAGCGGAATCTAACTTCAAGCAGACCGATACGTCTGTCCAGCTGAATGCCGCCTTACGCGGCGGACCAGCAAGCAAGGGACTCGACAGAGTTCTGGAGATGTGGCGGATCCAGACACGAGCCCACCGAGTGTTTCATCCGCAAAGCTTGCGGAAGGTTCGAGGAGGCGTATACAGGTGGATGGACATGTTTCAACGCCTGCCTCCACTCGTATATGCAGTCATATCCGGATGGCATCCGCCGAGTCGCAGGCAACGCCTGCAACATCGCCAGCGATGAACTATATCGAATCCTCTCCGATGAGACCTTGCATCGATCGAGCGAGCACTATACGAGCCGTCCAGGATAGATAGTAAAGCCGCCCAACCCGCTCACCATCCATCGCCATCGCGAGAACAGCTCCACCCCCAGCAATCATGACCATCCACGCCAAACACCCCCAGGACACGCCCTCGCCCGCCCTGCTGGCCTTCTGGAGCCAGCACATGCGCTCCGTGATCGGCCCACTGATGAAAGCAACAGGCTACCCGCCCGCAGCGCAAGAGGCCAACCTCCGCTTCCTCGACGAGCACATCGCGCCGACGCTGGGCCCGCACCCCAAAGACCCGCACCCGAACTATGTCGCCCCCTGCGCCGTCGTCGGCACCCCCTTCAACCCCAGCTTCAACGTCTCCGGCACCGGCGCCCCCAAGGTCCGCTTCGACTACGACCTGCTCCCGCCGCTGCACCGCGCCGCATCCGACGACCCATGGGGCGAGCGCGACGCCCGCGCCGTGCTGCGCCGTCTGGCCGCCGCCCTCGGCGCCAACACCCAGTGGCTGGAGTACTTCATGGACCGCCTGTACCTCTCGCCGGCGGAGGCGCAGGCGCTGCTCGCGATCGTCCCCCACGAGGTCGTCATCCCGTCCGCCATGGTCGGCGTGATGTTTGACGGCGCCCAGCCGCGGCTGAAGGCGTGGGTGCCGACGATGCGCCGCGCGATGGTCGAGGGGCGGTCCTCGAACGCGGTGGCGCTGGAGGCGCTGCGCGGGCTGAGACCGCTGGGCGAGGCTATTGCGCCCGCCGTCGACGTGCTCGAAGCGTATGGCCCACCATCCCCCCCACCCGTCACGTCTGATGTTTGCTAACCGGGTCCGGGCCCCCAGCTGGATCACATCCACCACGCAAGACGCCCGCCTCATGCTGATGGGCATGGACTGCGGCGCGCCGCACGACTCCCGGCTGAAGATCTACCTCGTGACGCCGCAGAACGCGTGGGCGACGGTGCGCGACGTCATGACGATGGGCGGGCGGCTGGACGACGCGCCGGCGCGCAAACGGGTCGCGCTGCTGCGCACGATCTGGCCGTATCTGATTAACGAGCCGGACGATGCGCGTATTGTAGCTGACGAGCACTGGTGCAAGCCCGAGCGGATGCCGCGGCTTGGCTTCTCCGGGCTAATGTACTCGATCGAGATTAAGCCGGGCCGGCCGGTGCCCGAGGCCAAGCTGTACGTGCCGCTGTTTCAGTACGCCGAGAGCTCGGCGGTCGCGGAGCGTAATATGGAGGCGGCGCTGGCGCTGCTGGACATCGAGTGGGGGTCCAGCGGGAGGTATCGGCGGACGATGGAGGAGACTTTGTGAGTTGCCCTTCCTTTTCCCCCCTGTGTTGCACTCTGTGTGACGGTGGCGCGAGCTGACTGGCTGCAGCGGTAAGGGAAAGGAGTATGGGCAGATATTTGCGGCGTATTCGTACTCGGAGCGCACGGGGGGATATATCAATTCGTATGTCAGCATGCCGATTGAGGACGTGCAGGTGCATCCGCTTTTGGGAGACTACGTCTAGGCTGGT